CAGTAGCCGTTGCTTCCTCTGGAATTGCTGCCACGCTGCTCATTGGAGGACGAACTGCGCACTCCGTATTGAAACTGCCTCTAAATCTTGCTCAAGAGGAATCTCCAACCTGCAATTTTAGTAAAAATAGTGGTCGGGCCGCGATGCTGCGCCAGTGTAAGCTGTTAGTTTGGGATGAGTGTACCATGTCGCACAAAGGAGCTATTGAAGCTCTCAATAGGACTTTGCAGGATATAAGGGACTGCAAGAGCATAATGGGAGGATTGGTAGTTTTATTAGCAGGTGACTTCCGTCAAACACTACCAGTCATACAAAGGGGGACTCCAGCAGATGAAATAAGAGCTTGCTTAAAATCGTCTAAGTTATGGGACCATGTCATAAAGTTACAATTAACCACAAACATGCGAGTGAGATTATTCAACGACATTCAATCGGGTCATTACGCAGAAACATTGCTAAATATCGGTGACGGGAAAATGACAGTAGATGCAGAGGGAATGATTACTTTAACGGAAGAGTTTTGTAACGTTGTGGGCAGCGAATCGGAGTTGGTAGCAAAAGTTTATACTGACTTACACGATAATATACATGATGACCAATGGCTCTGCGAACGCGCAATATTAGCACCAAAAAATGAAACGGTCACTAAAATAAATGACTATATTTTGGATGAAGTTGTGGGGGAAACTACTGAATATTTATCTGTAGACACAGTAGTAGAAACAGACCATAGTACCTCATATCCTGTAGAGTTCTTAAATTCTTTGGAACTATCTGGGGTGCCTTCTCATAAATTAAAATTAAAGGTAGGGGTTCCGGTGATGCTCATGCGTAATCTTGATGCCCCTAGACTGTGTAATGGTACCAGGCTGCGTGTCACTCATCTTGGGCGGAATATTATTACAGCAACTATTTTAACTGGCGCAGCAAAAGGTGAAAGTGTACTCATTCCTCGGATTCCGATTATTCCAACGGACCTCCCATTTCAATTTAAAAGACTTCAATTTCCTATAAAGGTTTCATTTGCAATGACCATTAATAAAGCACAAGGCCAAACTATGAGGGTTGCTGGAGTACACTTAGAAAAACATTGTTTTTCGCATGGTCAGCTTTATGTAGCGTGTTCCCGGGTATCCAGTGCCCAAAATCTGCACGTTTTTGCTCCCAAAGGTAAAACGTATAATATAGTTTACCGCTCAGTTTTGGTTTAACATTGCATAATATTATGAAACCCTTATAGGAAATAGAAGTCTTTTAAATTAAAATGGGAGGATGGTATTTGTGGTAATGCGAAAATAACTCCTGTTGTTCTTTCACGCTAAATAACTGAACGGATTTTGAAGAAATTTGGTATAAAGATAGTTTGAGTCTTGGAAAAGCAAGGCAAAATCTAAAAAGCGCGATATAACCGAATTCCACGCGTTTCTTTGCCTGTCTTAAACGGCAAAACGAAGGTACTTAACGTGATTTTTTAACTGAAGGTAATTGAAGGGATGGATAGTCACATAGGCTACTTTTTATACTTTTGTGACGCGAGCGAAGCCGCGGGTAAAAGCTAGTAATCTTATAAATCTAATAAATTAGATATATAACTACAATTAATAAACTGTACACTAAAACGCAATAAAACAAACTTAATTAAATTATACGCATCCTTAGAGTTAGGCGTTGACAAAATATGATGGAACATTCCAACATTATACTTATTTGTCTCGAGCTCTCTAAACAATACTTCTCTTGCAGACTGAAATCTGACACATTCCGTCAATAGGTGCGTAATATCTTCTACTGTACCACACTCCTCACAGTTCGGTGAATTATTTTTTCTCATTAAAAATTCAAAATTATTAAGTGGCATGTGTCCAGATCTCAGTCTGTGAGCTGCTGTCTCAAATTTTCTGCTAAGTCTGGTGTTACAAAACCATGGTACATGAGGAGGTTCCGAGACTATAGACTTATACCAAATCCCTTTTTTCTGGGACCTTTCATTAAAATATTCTTTCCAAATTCCGTAACAAATATTTTTATACTTAGGTAATACTTCTACGAAGTTAGTTACTATATATAGTTTTTTTGTGAAAAAGTTTTTAATTGGTTATAATATTTTCTATCGCGTTCGTCATCTCTCAAAGAGAAGTCATATTATATTACAATTTCATAGTTAAGTTTAATAGTTATAGTGATTAAGGAAGACCCTTTAAACTACTACTAGTCATTACAAAACCGCTAACTTTAGTAATAGCTTAAACTTAGGATAATCAATCACACTTGCGGCTATTTGACCAATGAAATAGTTTGATTTTGAGCACTGTCTGTCAAAATGTATATTTTAATTGTATTTCTACTAAAATCCAATGTAAGTGTAGGAGAGCCATGCTTCCGTACGAATGGGCCGGCTGGACCGGAGTGATAACACGGCCTCACAGAAAACCGACGTGACAGAAAAACGACGCTTGCGTTGCGATTCGTCGTGTGAGTGAGGTACCGGAGGTCCGGCTCGGCCGTATGTACTGTACCGAGTGAATTGCACCAGCGAGTGAAACAAATAAATGAATTAGTATCTATGGCGCCAGAATTATGAAACTTAGAACTAATATATTTTTGTATGGAGTCCGTAACCTGCAGTAGCCAACATTCACGAAAACAATCGTTTTTATAATAACTATCGTGAGACATGCTAAATTAACTAAATATCACGGGTTACTCACGTGAATATTCTGAGAAAAGCTGTACTAGTTTCGAACCACAGAGGGTAGGTTTACTGTATAGTAGGCTGCTCGACATAGCCACGCCGCGCACGTTGCTCATGAGGAAGAATCCCTCTGTGGTTCGAATCGAAACTAGTAGAGTTCATAAAGATTTTATTGTTGGTTAGCCTCTGCTCGTGGCCTGCAAACGCCGCCGCTTGAATAGTGGCTTCGCCCGCCGCTCCGCCGATCCTCGTGGCCAGGCCGTAAGATATCATACATAATAACCATCAGACGAAAAGTTAAAAATATAATATTGTGTATGGACATTAAATGATATAAATCACATAAATCGCGGAACATAACTGGTGACAGTTCGATGTTTCATCGAAAATGTGTGCATCTTCCTACAGCTTCTGAGATTAAGAAGCGTAATGTTAAGATATATCGAGTTTATATAAGTCACCATCTCAAAATAATAAATTTGAAAGCTTTCTAAATATTATACAGAGCTGCTGAACCCATTTATAAAATACGACTCTCAAATTACGGATGTTTTATTTTATCGGATTCAAAATGGACGTCATATCTGATTTAAAGTCAAGATATTTTATTTTAGGACCCTTTAAAAATAGAATAAATTATTTTATCTCCTTTCGTATTATCGTATTCTTTTATATTTTTGAGTTTACGTTTCGTATTATTAATGTATTCCCTTTGAAGATACTACTATTATTATTTCCTAAATATTCTTTTGAAATGTAGAAAGATTGTAGATTATAAATGTACTATAGTTTTTCATGTTATTTAGGACTCCCCAGTTATTTTAAAAGTCTGCAACAGAACAAAAGACCTCGGGTACGATTTCCGGGTTAAACAAAGTACACCTGGGATGCAATATGATGTCACGATAAAAAAAAAGAAATCTAGTATATTACTAAAGTTTTTACAATATAATAAAAAATAATTAATTTAATTTAAAATTAAAACAGAATCCTTAAAAATACGATATGAAATTTTAATAATACGCAAAATAAATACGCCGCCTCCAAAATCAAATAAAATAATGTTTTGGTTCGACGAAAAAAACTCGCGATAAAATTTATTCGGCCTTTCTTCCTGCAGCGATATTGAGTTTCATTATTCGTTCGACTAATTAAAATGTTCGCTAGGTGTTTTAATAATAAACTGTTACGTGTTTTATTTGGCAATATTATACAGCTTCATTGACTTAATGGTTTTTCCACGAGTAAAGTATAAAATAGGTAAATGATTTTATGCGGCGTATTATTATTTTACGCGGCGTATTATTAATATTTGGTATATAGTCTCATATTTCAAACGAAAATGCTTCGTCTTTTATTAGTAGTATGTAACACCCACGTATCGTAAGTTTTTTGTGAATATTTATAATGTCACGTATCTCCTTGTTATATTATCGGCTAGAAAAGGCATTATTTGGGTGTTTAGATATTTCTAAAACTCAGTAATTAACACTATACTAATTTTATGATAAACAAATCAAATTTAATTAAATCAGTTTCAATTTTATAAAATTGTTCACAAAATATTGTTTCCTATACATGTTTTAAAATGAAACTGTTTCCGGGAACTTTATAGGTACGGCAAAAATAATTGAATTTCTCGTATTTCGATTGAAGTGATAGGTACGTCAAGTTTATACAAAAAATGCAATATCAGAAAGTTTAATATACGTAGTACATCACACCGATTATTCTCGGAAACCCGGACAATATCTGTTTACTCTGGAAACTGGCGAGGTCAAAGCAAAAATGTTCTCAAATCACTCGCCAGCCTTCAACGTAATTCCGACACAAAAATCCTACATTTGAAACTGTCCACTGTCACGGGAAAGAAAGACAAACGAACAACACATACATAACATCACCCCTTTTACCCCCGAATGCATCGGTAGATGTGCACATTATGGCATTTAATGCCACTGTACACTGAGTGTTACATTGTATCACTCACTTTACACTATTTATGGCATGAGTCCCATGTAATAGAGAGTGGGCCGATTGCCATATACCGGACACAATTCCAGACTCCGTTCTACTACTGAGATTTTTTTTTAAACCCAGTAATGCTGTGTCCCATCCGGGAATCGAACCCGAGACCGGCAGTCGCACTTGCGACTATTAGGTCAACTTTGCCTACACATTCGAGAGTAAAAGGCGTGATGTTATGTTATGTTAGGCTGACAAATAAACAAACGAACATTTTTTCATATTATTAATAAAATAAATTACGTAGCAATGAACATGGTTAACAAGTTATTATTTGTTGCAGTTGCACCGAAATGGAATGAAGAACCGCAGAACTCATCCCTTCTGCTGGGCAGAAGTGGTCACATATCTTGCAGTGCCAATGGATACCCACAGCCTCAAACACATTGGCTCAAGAAAGACAGTAAGTATTTTTTATAGGTACCACTGAAGTCCTGTTTTATACCACTGAAGACGTCGCGTTCCGCGCGCGCCTCAAAGATCCATCAGACCACCACGGATGCCCAACAGAGTTGATGCCGATTCGGAGTCGTGAAAATCTAACGGGTTACCGGGGCTCCGGCTCGAAGTGCAGGAGTAGGAACGGGGTGGTTTTTAGTCAGTAAGAGTCTGACACTCTCCGGCCTTGCCCAGGCGGGAGCAGTCATTCGTTGAATACCTAACTATTATTGGTCATACGTACTTATAGCTTACACACCCACTGATAGGTTGGAAGTCGGTGCAAACAAACATAAAAAAAGCATATATACGGTCGAATTGAGAACCTCCTGCTTTTTTTAAGTCGGTTAAAAAATACCACTGAAGTAGCAGATAAATCGACCAGGCCTACGGAAAAATTTATATAATAACAGGCATATGGAATGGTTACACACGTTTAAAATGACTTGACTGCACGGTTCACGTGGTGGTTGGGCAACTGTGTCGCGGGTTCGATTGCCGCACGGAACAACTCTTTGTGTAATCCACAGATCGTTGTTCCGGGTCTTAGAAAGAGAGAAAAGCTCTACTAGTTTCGAACCATTGCCTTTAGCCAAACGCCACTTTAGCGCTTGTCTACAGAGAGAGTAGAAAAGTAAATGTATGGCGATGACACTGACAAGTGTCAAAATTTAGGTCGATTCCATATAATTTGGTTTTCTATTCTACATGTAAACAAGCGTTAAATAGCATTTGGTTACAGCTGCATGTCACGTCTACTGACGTCGCCGCGACCGCGCACGCTACTCATGAGGAAGAACCCCCCTGTGGTTCGAAATTAGTAGAGCTTTTCTCAGTATATTCACGTGAGTAACCCGCGATTTTTAGTTAATTTAGTATGTCTCACGATAGTTATTATAGAAAGTTTCTTTGTTTGGATGTTTGTCCGTCAATCACGCTAAAACTAAACGGATTTTGATGAAATTTAGTATACAGTAAGGGTGTGGGCTGACTTAGGTGATAGGACACTTTTTATCCCGAGTAAATACTACCATGGGATAAAAGGGGAATAGGCGGGCGAAGCCGCGGGTAAACACTAGATCTCAATAAAAACATACAAAGTCACTTACTTGAGTACATCGCTAATAAACAAATTCACCCATCCAATGTCGTTAGTCACTCAGTTATCAATAACAATCGCTGAATTTTATTTTATACTAGCCACCCGCCCCGGCTTCGCACGGGTGCAATAAGCATGTATTATACATATAAACCTTCCTCTTGAATCACTCTATCTATTAAAAAAACCGCATAAAAATCCGTTGCGTAGTTTCAAAGACTTAAGCATACAAAGGGACATAGGGACAGAGGAAGCGACTTTGTTTTATACTATGTAACTTAATTTCACTATGATTCTAACTATTGCGACCAAGATACAGACACAAGTTAAAAAACTATATTCTCTTGACAAAATATATTTTTAAAAACACCGAACAGAACTACAAACGGAACGCTGAAATTTTGCCAAAACTCTTAGAATTTCTCGGCTCGTTCTTTACAATGTTTTTTTTTCTTTCTTATTTTTTTTAAAGAAGTTTACAAACCTTTTATAATGTTTTTCTTTATTTTATTTTTCTTTTCGTTTACTAGCCTTAATCTTTTTAAACGTTTTAATTTTTTTAATGTTTGTTTTTTATTTGAATAGTTTATTCTTTTGGGCCTACTTTTTTTTCGAGTATGTATATGCTATGGGCCGAATAGAACAAACTAGAAGGTATAGGGATTAAGCTTTCAGACCACCACTGATGGGGCCCAATATGGCTGATGCCGATACGGAGCCGCGGAAGACTTAACGGGTTTTTACTCAGTAAGAGTCTGACACTCCCTCTCGCCTCACAGAAGTGAGGAAGGGAGAAGTGATTCGATGATTTTCGCCCTCAAAAAAATTGATTCACGTCGGTTTTCTGTGAGACCGTGGTGTCACTCCAGTCGAGCCGGCCCATTTGTGCCGAAGCGTGGCTTTCTCACACTTCATAATAAGTGAAGATTTTAGCACGAATAAACATGTAATTTACCCAGACCTAATAAACCTCATTTACTCGAATTTCATAGTTTCGTAGATACGCAAAACCTGAAAACAAGGGTCGGATACCGGTATATTTTTCGAAACGTTTTCGTCTTAAATGCCTAAAGAACAATTTGTTTCGTTTATGTTCGGACGGAACTTTATAAAAAACGTTTTTGAAAAACAAAAAAAATATACCGATTTCGTTTAATAAAACGTTTTTAACCGTTTTTATTGAATTTTAGTGTTGCTCGATGTTTCATGAGTATTAAATTCAATAGGCATCTCATTGCCGCGCGGTTTCGTCGTTCGTACCTATCTTCCGTTTGCTAAATTTGTAAATTTGTTTGTTAAAGCTAAGCCTAGCGTACCTAGGTACTATTGTTATTAACCCGTGCGTATACCTACTCGTAGTTAGTAAACAGTGTATAGTAGGTACAGTAAGCATGGACAGTTCAGGTGAGTACCACTACCCTATAATATGGAAATAAGTACCTACAGATCTAGAACTACTTTCTAGATTATCAATTATACTTTCTAAATTATCAATTGTATACATATATTATATTCAAGGTTTATAAAGTTAATTGCTACTTAAATAAAAATTTTCAGATGAAGAGCCTGATTTACCAGACCGCCAACCATTTTTTACTGAAATAGAGACTGATGTTATTCCAATTACTGATTTACCAGACGGCAAATTTTTTTTATTGAAATAGATGATTTCAACCCAAATTCCAGTTTAATAGACAAAAAAACCTCTCTTACTGAAAAAGAGGAGAATATAATAATTGGAAAAGGTATGTTAGTAGTTATACCACCATGCTAGGCTAAAAATGCCCCTAAGCGTTTAAGTGCTGACCGCAGAAGCATTATGCTTATAGGTTTTTTAGGGTTAGCACGGCACTATAAATAGTAGTCATGTGCAACTATAAAAATAGAAATAATTTTAAACATCATTTATTTTTTATAAATCAAAAGACATGCAAAATTAAATGAGGAAGAATCGCAATCTCTATTAGCACCGAAAAGACGTACAACAGGTAGGTGTTCTTGTCAAGACTAAACGAAGATATTTTTCCTTACGGTCAGTTTTCAAGGATGATCTTTAAAGTTCATGCTCTATTAACTGTATTCACTATTCTAGAAGTAAAAAAAGACGGTGATAACTTTAATGAAGCATTAACTTTAAATATCGTTCTAGCAGCTGACTGTTTATGTATTAGATTAATTAACAATAATAATCACATTGCATCCAACTCTTAGCTGATCCGAAGCATAAATATTATTGTGTTCATAATATAGGTAACCCTATTCGCCAAAATATAGAAATCGGCGGTACCCCATATGCTTGCGTGATGAAACATGATAATTTTAAGAAACATCTTGGTTGCACTTCGCAGCACCGAACTGTGATTGAACATCGATTAAAATTGTACAATGACTACAAACTTTAACAAAATACAAATCAACCTAACTTAACAAATTAAACGTTTACCTTTAAACTTATTAAATTAAATTGATTTATATTGCAGGAATACAAATGAGTCTAATTACTGTTCCGCAAAGCAAGGATACCCAGAAGCCTCAGGAGGAACCTGTTTTACCAAGTCAAAATTCAAAGCAACAAAATGAAAAATACCAGTGTGTACTGTGCAACATAACCAACAATCAGAAAGATATCAGAAATGAATATTTTGGAAAACTTATTTAGTGTGCACTGTGACGTCAAAGTGACGACACAAACAAAGAAGTGACGAGGTTTTGGTTGAAACATCGATGCTGACAAATTCGATAACTGTACTCGTGACGTAAATTTCGTTTTGACAAATGGTGGTGCGTTTCATAAATTTGAATTACGCGTGCTTTTTTGCACTTTTTAATTAATATTTTATGCAATTATAAACATAAGAAAATAATGGTTGAGATATAATATCAGGACTATAAAGGTTCAAGGAAAAAAAATCAAGTAAATTTAAATCACATGCATATTCCCAATTACATAATGCTAGCTTATTGAACCTGAGACTGATAAACTTATTAGGTATCTACATTATTCTACATAATCATGTAAATTAACATAATGTCATAGAAAATAATATTAAATTAATCTGATTTCTCATAGATGCTGTTGTTTCTTACTAACAAGATATCATCAATTATGGAGTCTTTTAATGACATTCTTAGATTATTTAAAATAAATTTCAGCGATGAAAACAACCTTTCAACACTAACCTGCGTTGGTGGAGTAGCCAAGGCAATTGTGGATAAAGAATAAAGTTGTGGATCAGTAAACCTTTTTTCGTACCAATATTTCAAAATGTTCTCATGCGTTGGCAATAGTGGCGAATTTAAAAAATCAATCAAAGAGTTTTTTAATTGATTGCAAGCTTCTGTTGGTCGTTCTCTCTGACGTTCTCTATATCGCCTTTCAAAGAAACCATCTATATTACTCCGTGATGTGTGCGGGACATTATCTTGATTAAGATCATTTTCATCTGTTGGTCGATCCTGAGTTTGCAATTGTAAATTAATATATCTTTGGTGTGTATGCATTAAATGAATCCGAGCTCGTTCGTTCTGTTCTTCGGAAAGTATAGAATTTACTCTCGGATCCATATAAACAGCAGATAAAAATGTGTCGTTGTTCAGAAGATTGCCCTCCCTCGCTTTCATACATATAACTAAATATAATGCAATAGGAGTATTCATTTGTTCTAACTCTGTAATACATTTTATCCAATAAATGTAAAAATCACCGAATGTTAATTGTTCTTCTTGCAACCGTTTGGATAGTACTCTGCACGGTTTGAGAGCCTGCAAACTCTCTTCAATTTTGGACCATGTTTCATCTTCAATTAAGTCCGAGTAATATTCTTTACAAAAGTCTTTTAGGTTAACTAGCCTGTCCAACATATCGGCAGTAGAGTCCCATCGAGTTGGACAATCCAGAATAGCCTGAAGCAATTGGTGACGCTTTAATTCCAGTGCCACGTTAGGTGTACGAAGAGTTCTTACTGCACGACGACACAAGTCGAAAACGGGTTCAAGTTCTTTGCAGGCATCTCTCACAGCAAGCTGCAATGTATGTGCGGCACAACGTACAGCTGTCACAATAGGTTGGGCTATATTTTCCCTTTCGAACTCCAAACTTTCCACCAAATCAAGCATTTCCTGACCATCTGCTGGTGAAAATATAATATCAGATTCCTCAACCTGTTCTTCAGTGTTATTCAAATCATCAAGAGAATCCTGTATTTCTTCTTCAATTTGACGAGACATTGCAAGCATATTAGCGCCGTTGTCCGAGGTGATAGAATATATCTGCTGAGGCTCGATTCCGTAGCGGCTTAAAACCATCAACACTGTGTCTTTCAAGAACGCTGCAGTATTTCGTTCATGAAGCTCAACTACACACAAGTTACGAAGCTCCAGCTTCTTATCTAAAATGAACTGCAAATTTATTCCGAGGAATCTTCTTGATTTCACAGAAGCTACATCAATTTTTAAACATACCAGTTTATTTTTTAATTCCTCATAGATCTTCTTTCGTACATCGTAGGCTTTATTCTCAATACATGTTCTTATGTTTCTAATATTGGGTTTTAACCCAGGATTAGGTATCATTGTAATTAAATTTTGGAATGCCTCATCTTCTAGCATAGACAACGGCCTGCCGTGGATTGCAACTAAATTTATGCAGCATTCAAGAACTTTATTGTATTCTGTTAGAGAATTTACATTTTTATCAGAAAAAGTCCTTTCTTGAATTCTGTCATATTCAGCACGATGCTGCGTAAAAAAATGTCGTACTAAATTTCCGCCGTGATGTCCCTGGAACAATATTTTTTACAATCGTATCATATAATTTTTGATTCTACACACTCCGTACAAAATTCATTCACAATCTTCACTAAAATATTATCAATAAACAGTGTAAATAAAGGATATGAACAGCTTCTACTATGAGACCAATTTCGAAATCGCAAAAATTAAATACAGCTGTTTCAGTACATGTTGCTTGTTCATCATAAGTAGTTTTTGAGAGATTTTTATGAAACAGCAGATATTTTTTCGTGATTTCGATGTTAGTCCTAATTCCTATAGAAAAAATTGTTCATATAGGTACAAATCATGTTATGTAAACTACCTAGTCTTAAGGAGTTACAGTATACTACAAGAATCTCAAGATTGAATAATTAAAAAGGTACTTACTCGTATTTCTTTCTGGCATCCTTCCATTTGACATTTTGATTTGTTAGTTTCGCTATTGTAAGTGTAATACGAGTAAATTGGGTTTTTTCTTTTACGTCCCATTTAAGCAATCAATAAGCACCACTAATTATAATAGGTAGGTAACTAATTACCACTCCCGAAGTCCCAATAACAACAGTAAACACAACCTCAGTAAGCAAGCGCATCGGAATAATTGATCTATAGTTACACTGAAGCCGCGCGGCAGCATAAACAAACAAGTCCATACTTGTCGTCGCACGACTCTCGCTGCACCGTCTTGCGGATTAAACCGGTTTTTGAAAATGTTCCCATTTCGTTTTCGTTCCGAACGCAATGCAACGAACACAATACGAAGAACTGTTAGAAACGTTTAAAAAACGTTATTTTAAATAACGTTTCCGACCCTTGCCTGAAAACTAGAAAACGTATCAATAGAATAAAACTAGAAACACTATCACTTCATCAAAAGTGTACTAAAAAAATACATTATTCAGTTCGAAATCATAAAATTTCCCATTTTGTGCAAATGAATATTTAATACGGTTTTCAAAAGCTGAATTCGTACGATTTTAATTTCCTGACAGTTGTATTTTTGTACTTTAGTTATAACATTCAAAAGGAATGAAATAGCGAATCGTTAATCGTTTCAAAGAAGTAGGTACATTGAATTTAAGATGGAAGTGATAAAATAAATTTTATTCTTTTTTATTTTAAAATAGTCCAGACTTTGCCAGAGTCTGTGTTTCCCGAAGGATTGTATAGATATTTAAGTCCCGAGCAAATAGGTTGCTTTTGTGCAGGCGTGCTCCATCGTAGGTCGCATCTTTGCCTACCATCAGGCCAGACGCCCGACATATTAAATTTGTAATATAAAAATTAATTAAACTGATTCACATAAACGTCTCAGCTGAAAAAATTGTAGAAACCTCGACTTCGAGTCCCAGATAGCAATATTATAAGATTTGAAAGATTTCCAAATGTTTACATTAGCTACTGCTGTTCTCTACATAGTTATAAGCTCATACCTACTACATCTGGTTCATTAAACAGGTAACTGGCAAAAGAATTCTGTAACACTTAATAATAATCGAGTGTGGCAGAGCCATGCTTCGGTATGAATGGACCGGCTCGAACGGAGTGATGCCACGGCCGAGAAGAACACCGACGTGAAACATCGCATGTGTTTTGTCGTGCCAGTGAGGTTACGGGAAATTCAATTACTCCCCCCCCCCTCGTCAATCTTCCCAATTCCTGAATTCCAACAATCCTCAAATTTCTAATCCCCAAAAGGCCGGTGACCCATTTGTAACGCCTCTGATGTTCCGGATGTCAATAGATGATGCCGATTGCTTACCATCAGGTGATCCGTAGGGTCGATTACCCGCTTATTCCATAAAAAAATGCAAGCACTTCTTTTTCTTCGAATCATGAAATAAAAACACACGTTGTTCCTACATTAACGGTTTTTATAATATCAATTTTTGTTCCAGTTGTATCAGAAACTTGGAGACCAGTTTTAGAAGTGGCTGGTGGGGGAGTGCTGAGCCTGTCCAATGGATCCCTGATCTTCGACTCAGTAGCGTTGTCTGATGCTGGGCTGTATACGTGCCACGTTGAGAATGGTGTCGGCGAAGCGCTCAGTAAAACTGTTTGGATCTCAGTAAATAGTAAGTTAAAACCTTATTTGATCATGCTATTTTTTGAATCTTTTTAAGATTACTTAAGTCTGACTGCACTTTGGAAAATTGTTGAAGGAACATCCTCAGTCGATTTATGTTCCGAATATGGTGTCAACCATGTTTGCCATATGATGAATATGATTTATTAAATGGAGATCAAATTGTGCTTAATTTATATTGATCAGGAATACTAAAAGCATATGCTGAAAAATTAGACATTGTTGTTTTATAGAAAGTATGTTTGTAAGGCTCCAATATTATATACTTCCTAAAAGTGACCAGTGTTAAAATTCTTACGTAAAGTCATCGAACCTAATACGCACGGCGGTTCCTTTAGGGCTCAAGCATGGCTCCGGCACGACATTTAATCCTTTGGAAACAATACAAAAAGGTCGTAAGTGTGTTGTCAATGCGCTTACAGTTTTTATAAATTGATGTTATGACATATTTCATACGACATACGAATTAAAGTTCATATTTAAATACCAATGACTTTGCTGGGTGCTGGGTTGAAGCCTTGCTTGCTAGGTGTGCGATGGCTTTTACTTTTATCATTCTATCATCTTGTAAAGCATACCGACAGAGAGTCCACAATCTTTTCAATTCAGTCTCCAACCTAACCCTCCACTAAAGTAAACTACCAATGATTTATGAGTACCCAATCCCTCCCGAGCGTACGGCGCGTCGCGTTCCGCGCGCGCTTCAAAGAGCCATCAGACCACCACAGATACCAATAGGGCCCAATAGGGCCGATGCCGATTGGGAGTCGCGGAAAACCTAACGGGTAACCGGGGCTCCGGCTCGAGGTGCAGGAGAAGGAACGGGGTGGTTTTTAGTCAGTAAAAGTTTGACACTCCCTCCCGCCTCACCCAGGCGGGATCAGTCATTTGATGATTTCCCCCCTTAAAAAAAATCCCTCCTTTTGAACAAAACTAACTTCTGCCTGATATAAATTCATAGCTGGCACCTTCCAACGCACCACTTAATTAATTACAACGAATTACCAACTTACTTCTAAACGTGATTTGTTTTTCTTTACTCGAAAGAGAAGCTTCCTAAACTTTCTTTTAAGCCAGTTAATCATTACTCAGATCTTCAAGGGTTGGACAGAATGACGCAATTATTCATTGTTCGTGACATATGCTAATTTTGCTATTGTTCTTTCGTAGAAGACAAAAGATTAAAAGATTTTGAAATAACAGTTATTTTTGTTCCTACCTAGCGATTTTCGTTGCCAAAGTCAAAAGTCAAAATCAAAATCATTTATTTCAATTAGACCAGGAAGGCACTTTTAAACGTAAAACAAATTTTTAAAATATTAAATATTAATAAAAAATCTCAGTCTGTAGGTCAGTCCTCTAGTGAAGCTATTTGCTCGTTCCAAAGTGTAGATTCCTATGGAGAAGAACGAGCAAGAAACTCCATAGGTTACTCTTTTTCAATCATGTTCACAATACAATTCAGACAACACAACACAGTACAATTATGTTCTCACATAATTGAACTTAACGAAAGAATGTCTGGGTGTCATGTGTATGGGAACTCGTATGTTTGTAAACGCGCCCACAACCACAATACAAAAGAAAACCCTAGCATTAGGCAAAGTTTAAATAATAATATATTTGAGTCGTTATTGTCACCCGACTGATGCTATACTATATGAGAATTATATCCAATCTGACTTATAACAAGGTTCTGGCAATCCATAGATGAAAAGTCAAGTCAATAAGAAATCTTCACTGGACGCCATATATACCCCCCTCCCCCGAATCCCCCCATTCCCCTTTATCCCCAACAATCCTCAAATTCATAATGCCCAAAAGGCAGGGAACGCATTTGTAACGCCTCTGGCATTCCAGGTGTCCATACGCGACCCCGATTGCTTACCATCAGGTGATCGTCTGCTCGTTTACCGGCTTATCCCATAAAAAAACTGACTTCTTATTTTTTTCTTCTTCTTCTTCGCCTTCGCCAAAATCAGGACTAAATATTCAGTTTTCTTCCAGAACCAGTAACATTTGATGTACTATCAAGAAACATGACTGCTAAACTAGGACAGCAGGTCACAATAGAGTGTCATGCGAAAGGAGATGATCCAATCAGAATCATGTGGACGAGGAATGGGAAGCCTATCAATCCACTTACACAGAGGTATGTAGAGGTATACATAATTATCATCATGTATTAGCCACAACACGACCGATCGCGATTGACTGGTCGATCTAAACTAGATACAACGTCATTTCTACGTATAAAATTGTACATAGAAGTGACGTCACGCGACATTTCAAATCGTATTCGTTTCTGTAAGAAAATAAAAAATACGTGTTTAATGATTTGAGATAATCTACTAGACGGACTTTAAAATAAAAATTAGGCATCTACCCTATTGCAATATTATTATGATAAATTTGTAGTTTTATATTTTTTCGCATAATAAAATAAAATACTACATAATTGTACACGAATAATGTTGTTTTATTAAAGATTTTTTGAAGTAGGTAATGTAACTGGTATATCGTACTGGGTGTCGTCAGTGACATGTCGATCTTAGGTCTTAACAACTTGGCCACCCCTTCTCTATTGTAAAGCGTTTAATAACGTTATTGATCAATGAAATGTTTATGATTAGGTAGTATAACTCTATTTACCTTCAAAACACAAACGTGATCGTTTGCTATGTAAATTCTCATTACAATTTGAATATTTGTTTTGCTAACAATCTCTCTCTGTTTATTCAGTACATTACTGTTTGTATTTTGATCATTATAAATGGTTTTTAACAAATTCAAAACACAATCAATTGTTATAATTTGCTGTTAACATGTAATAGTTATTCTCTCTCATGTTTTAGTATTCTAAACATAACATCACGCCTTTTATCCCTGAAAAAGTATACAGAGATGCATCTTACGGCACTTTATGCCACTGTACAATGTAACACCTACTTTTTACTATATATTTATTACTAGCGACCCGCCCCGGCTTCGCATGGGTGCAATATGCACGTATTATACAGATAAACCTTCCTTAAGAATCACTCTATGTATTAACCGCATCAAAATCTATTGCGTAGTTTTAAAGATCTAAGCATACATAGGGACAAACAGTAGGCGGATATCGACTTTGTTTTACACTATGTAGTGGTGAGTCCCATGTAATAGGGGGTGAGCCTATTGCCATATACTGGACAATTCCAGACTCCGTGCTACTACTGAGCATATTTTTCAAAACCCACTAATAATATGCCCGACCTGGGAATCGAACCAGAGACTCCTTGCAGCCCTTGCAGCTTGCCCTAGCAGTCTCACTTCGTAAGTGGTCGTCCACTCGGCCAACGAGGCAGTTTTACGAATCATTTGTCTCATAAACAATTACTATTTTTGTCACAGAGTAAAAATATCCGAAGCTAAATCAGAAGATGGCATGACCAGCATACTTGAGTTGCTGCAGACAGAAACAAGTGACGGTGCCCTGTACCAGTGTAGGGCGGGCAATCCGTTCGGAGCTGACGTGTTTAGTGTGCACCTAACTATATTAGGTAAGTCTAAGTTTGTTACGCAGGCATAGCCGCGGTATATCGCTAAAGTTGTACGACATAAGCATAACATAACATCACACAGACATCAGAGGTGCACATTATGCCACTGTAAAATGTAACACCCACTTTTCACTATTTATGTTATGAGTCCCATTTAATAGGGGGTGAGCCTATTGTCATATACCGGACACATTTCCAGACTCCGTGCTACTACTGAGATTTTTTGTAAAAGCCCAGTAATGCTTTGCAAGACCCGTGAATCGAACCCGAGACCCCTTGCCCGGCAGTCGCATTTGCGACCACTCGGCTAACGAAGCAGTCTAATCTTTAATTAAGGACATTTCTGTTCCTTTTTGTTTTTTTTTTTATAATTATTTGAAATGTATAACGCCTTGGTTTTATGACTGTAATGTTATATTATTCTATTGAAATAAATAAATAAATCTTACATAAAGTAAGCAGCAATATTTAGGTAGCACTCCCAAGCGATACACAACCTTGCTTTCAAACTCAAACTCAAAAGCAATTATTTCAATTAAACCATAATTTGGTACTTTTGAAACGTCACCAAATATGAAATAAATAATAGTCTGTCAGTCTGTCCGTCAGTGAAGCTAGGCGCTCGTTCTAATTTGTCGATTCGAGTGGAGAAGAACGAGCAAGAAACTAAATTCGTTAAGCTTTCACCAAAACACCACCATACTTGCTACTCTAAGCGTCATTACATAAGCAGTAAACAAACGAACGCTAGTACATAAATTAGCTAGCATTATTAGCCAGCTAGTAGCTACGTCCAGGTGGATTTATTGGCTCAGTTCCACATAATCGGCCCGGATTTAATGACAAACATTCTGCCCCCAATACCGGCCTTTAATTAGGTTATGGACTATAACTCCCGCAAATTCATATGTTATGTTACTCCGCGTAATGTTTGGTAGGGTTTTTTAGAAGAACAGTTGTATGATATTATATGTGTAAATAGATAATGAAAACTCTTTTTTATGATGAGGGGAAACCTTCAAAAGGCGCCTTGTGTTTTGGTGAGAAAAACTAGAGTGTGGGATTTTTACATCACTTTAACCACCCCGGTGGCTACCCCACCTGTATAGGGCACCGGGTTCTTTTATAGACTCACTCTGGAGCCCTCACGGTGCAACGCCTGTTACAGCACATTCTTGAGCCTTGTTTTATACGGTTACACGTGACCATTTTGCCATCGTCTTTCCTGAGGCTACTGGATGGCTACCTAGAATCATACTCTATGCAGCCGTGGCCCTGAAAGGCCGCCTGCAGTTCCTGCAACCGGGATGGTGGTCAAGACCTTACATGCATAAAGCGTTTCGTCTGAAGTTTTTAATTAGAACAGCTAAGGAGTGGACTTAATTCTTAGCGACTCTGTGTCTCTTAATCTGCATGTCTTTAAGACTCGAGTGAACAAGTTGTTTATAGCCTGCATCATCGCTTACCACCGTACGAGATAAGGCAAAACGTCGACCAATTTCCAATATAAAAAACAGCTTTTGCTATATCATGGTTTGACTTTAAAACCAACTTACTTTAACATAAAAATATTAGTTAGAATAAAACAGAAATACCTAGTAATTTAGTTCTCAATTCCCAAACTTATGATACTAAAATATTTGGTCCTATATCACAATTTTTGCTATGATTTAAACCCATATTACAGATATTAGACATAGTCCAATAATTGTGGTTACCGATGTTAATTGCTTTTCGCTGATGTTGGGCGGTTTATCGGTTTCTAGTGATTAATTGATTGTATTACTTGCGTGATTATGGGAATGGAGTATGTAGAAATATTATTACCTGTATCGTGAATTGGTCCTTTTAGATTGCTGGTAATTTTGTGTGGTCCTTCGGTACTAATGACCACTTATTAATTAGTTTATTAGTACATGTTCAGTTCCTTAGTAGATTGGTTGCTAGAGCGCCTGTTGAGCCAGAGCTCCCGGAGATAATGTTCTTATTGGGCACAGGATTAATAAGATTTTCGGTTTTACATCAAACGAGTAGTCGAGACACATTGCTACAATGTAACATATATTTTTCAGCAGTAATATTATAAGCCCCAATGTCGACAAATAGTTTCAATTCAAGGCCAAAAACTACTGAGAGCCCGCTCTGGGAAATAAATCCGAAAGCAATTACTTATATAATATCACCGACAAGGTGGTCAATATAGAATCTTTAAGTATTACAAATACTTTTTCTCTTCTAGAACCGCCAGCACCACCAACAGACCTATCAGTGGACTCCATAAGAAGTAGATCAGTGAAATTATCCTGGAGAGACATGACTAGGTCGCTGGCACAGTTCTACAGCCTGCAGATCAGCAGCAGTCAGAGACTATCCTGGAATAACGCTAAAGTTATCAATATTACGAGGTCTGTATTTGATTTCGAATATTAGTTTTAAGTCAAGGAAACACTTTTTTTTAAGGGGGGAAAATCATCGAATGACTGCTCCCGCCTGGGTGAGGCGGGAGGGAGTGTCAGACTCTTACTGACTAAAAACCACCCTGTTCCTTCTCCTGCACGTCGAGCCGGAGCCCCGGTGACCCGTTAGGTTCTCCGCGACGTCAAGGATACACTAGGGCTCAAATATCGTGCAACACGTGTCGTCAGCGATGTTGGACGAAGTAGCGCGACACGACATGTATGGCAACATGAACGTCGCTATGAACGCTACCAGAAGAGTCGACCGAAGTACGGCAATGTGCTACTTCACCCAACGTCGATAGCGATACGTGTTGCACGATATTTATCCCCTAGTATCCATGGCTTTATTATTAAAGGTTGATGTGTTTTCCAGCACAGAATTAATGTCCACATTTCGATTTCTTTTAAGTTTCAATGATATTATGAACACACTTTAGCTTGAAGATTTGTGTTCACTCCAGTGCATTTGTATTGGCGAAGATAAGGACAAATGTAAACATTAAATGTTCGAAATTGGTTCGACATCACTACTAATCAATAATGTACAGTTTGCTCATAAATTTAATCATTTTTCTGGCACAAAAGATCAAGACCTTAACACCTTGATTGCCGACAGAAAGCTGTTGAAGCCAAATCTTACGCTAATGTCGCGTAAGTCTACGCGGCGGTTAACGTGTTCAGGTGCTTTCAATATCCAACAATCCTTACTTCCTTACTTATATTATAAATCGGAAAGTGAGTTTGTTTGTTTGTTCCGCTTTAGCGCCGTAACTACTGAACCGATTGTTTTGAATTTTTGCAGACGTAAAGTTAGAAGTCTGGATTAAATAATAGGGTACTTTTTATCTCGGAAAAATTTGGTATTATCGAGGGAAAACGAAATTATTGGTATAGATGGCGCTGTGTGTTTATTCGTATAGATGGCGTTATATGTCATTTAAAACCAGTCGACGAATTACCTACTTATTGGAAATATCTAAATAGCGCGATATAAGTAACCAAATTCCACGCGAGCGGAAAGCTATTTGTTTGCCTGCCATAAACGGCAGAACGGAGGTACTAATTAACGTGATTTTTTAACTGAAGATAGTTGAGGGGATGGATAGTCACATAGGCTACTTTTTATGCTTTTGTGACGCGAGCGAAGCCGCTGGTAAAAGCTAGTACTTAATTAAATCTAAATCTGTAAATTCACCCAGGTTAGAAGAATTACGTCACAGCATAGAAGTAGAAGATCTCCTTCCAGCTACAAGTTACACTGCAAGAGTGGCAGGAGGCAATCAAGCAGATCTCAGTCACTTCTCTACTCCAGTCAGATTTACTACTACTGAAGAAGGTAATAAATTACACTTTGAACTTCTTGCTGAATGTCTAGATAGATTAATAGTAGCACTAGAAATGTTTCACAAATAGTATATAGACTGTGTTTTGTGACAACCTCGTTGTCATTATGATGCGTCTACACATAACATAACATCACGCCTTTTATCCCCAAAGGGGTAGGCAGAGGTGCACATTACGGCACCTAATGCCACTGTGCCGCATGTGTTGTATAGCGCATTTATCGAGGATGGCTATAGGCTATAAAACATCACACTACCAAAATATCCTTGATATATCAATTCTTATTTTCTAACACAAAATCGAACCAAACACTAATATTCTAAATCGTATTCTTCTCCCAGCACCATCGTCACCACCTCTTGGAGTCCAACTAGAGCAGACAGAATCCCCCGGAGAGCTCCGAGTAAGATGGCTTCCACCACCAGCAGACACACACAATGGACTCATCATAGGGTACAGATTGAAAGCTGTTCCTCAATTGACTGGAGTTAAAGGTAAGCACGCGATATAGACATCTAATCACCATGTTCACCCCTTTTTTATGGCATAACTCGGTAAACGAGCAGACGGATCACCTGATGGTAAGCAATCGGCGTCGCCCATGGACACCTGGAACACCAGAGGCGTTACAAGTGCGTTACCGGCCTTTTGGGGATTAGAAGTTTGAGGATCGTTGGGGATTCAGGGATTGGGGAGATTGGGTAATTGACCGGTAACCTCTCTCACATCGCAAGCGTTGCTTCGTGTCTGTTTTCTGTGAGGCCGTGGTATCACTCCGGTCGAGTCGTCCCATTCGTACCGAAGCATGGCTCTCCCACACTTAAATCATTTCTTAATTAAAGGTTATACTTAGCGTATCGTAGCACCTGAAATAATTCCATATTTGTACTGCTAGTAAAAAAGTCGCGGAGAACCTAACGGGTAACCGGGGCTCCGGCTCGACGTGCAGGAGAAGGAACGGGGTGGTTTTTAGTCAGTAAGAGTCTGACACTCCCTCCCGCCTCACCCAGGCGGGGGAATTTTTTGTACTCATATTTGGTTTATGTGTGTCACCATATTAATTAAGCATGTATCTTTTTAGAAACAGAAGAGACAAGTGACAAGACAATAAAAACTACATCTTTATATGCGAAACAAGAGACAGTCGTTACTGGGCTACTGAAAGGTGTTAGGTAAGTACAGTTTATACACACGGCCACACATCAATCTATACAAAACCAGTTTATCCTGGTGTCGCGTCGCATCATCTTTCCGCACATTTAACGTTCAGTTTATACTGGTTATGTAAAGCTCGATGTGTAGCCGTGTGTACATAAACACACTTTTCAGATACGAAAACTAAGTTCTCTGTCTTCGTCTAAAATAATTAAGTTAAAGTATAGAATAATGTATAGTTATGTTACGTCTAAGTAGTATATGTAATATAATTGTGTATGTTTATTGTTATGTCATATACATGTAAGTTTATATAGGGATTTATTTTATGTAAGTCTATACTATCCTTTTTTTATGCATTTCTGTAGTGTCTTAAATACGCTTGCTTCTTGCATCGACCATTGTTTTTGTCTCTGCATCACCCAAAGGTCTGGCTGGAGGAGAATGCCCTAGGCATTAAGCCCACCTTGTACAATAGTATATGCATGAAGTCTTTTAAAATAAAAAATAAAAATAATAAAGGAACCCTAAGACTAAAAGCAATTTTTTGTTTCTAGTAAACTAGATAAGTATAACAGGACTAACTTATAACTTGTACCAAAAATAGTCTTAATTGTGATCAGATGAATGAAAAACTTACTATCGACGAATTTATGTCTCAATTTAATTAAAAATCAATTAAGCAACCCACACTAAAACGTCCCACACGGATTCAAAACGATCATAATACACGAACCTCCTTCAAAATGAATATTCCTAACATTAATCTTCGTTCAAATCTTATTTGCACAGGTACGCGGTATCCGTGGCCGCGTTTACCAGTGCAGGATCCGGACCTTTCTCAATTCCACTGTTTCAAGACACGCGAGAAGGTGGTAAGTGATATTGATGATACAAACCAAATAGAACGGTAAGGGTGCTGAAATAAAGATTAATTTGAAATACATGTCTGTCTTGCGTGGTAGGGTCATCAATCTATGGTTTTGTAATGTTAGCTGTGTTTGGATACAGATTATTGCGAAATTGTAATCTTAGACTTTGACTGGATTTTGGTGGTACATTGTTCTCGCACAATCTAACCAACAAAACTATGTAATGTAACTAAACAATTGTATTGTGAAGCTGATTGAAAAAGATTAACCTATGGACTTTCTTGCTAGTTCTTCTCCATAGGAATCTACATCTTGGAATGAGCAAATAGCTTCACTTTATTTTTTTTGTTGCCGTTCAATAGTGCTTTTGTGGTATAATCGAAATAAATGATTTAGACTTTAGTATAATTGTAAAGTATAATTTTCACTTTTAGTAAAGGTTGAAAGCACACATACTGTATTTTTCCAACCTTGTGTTAATATTTGGAATTTCATCCATAATTTCTTAGACTTAAGCGTCTTATGACTTAGGTGACTTCAATGGAGACTACCGTATTTTTACTCAGCAGATGGCGATAATGTAGGAAGGGGTATTTTTGCCCAATCAGATAAGCTGTCAAATTTTAAATGTCCAATGGCGTGACACTAGCAATTCTCTATTGGAGAAAGAACGAGAGGTTCACGCACACTACATTTGGTGAGCAAAAATACGATAGGCCCCATTGGAATCGGTGCAGTATGTCATTCCTCCATTTTGGATTCCCGTTAAGATGTCATCATAGTAATATTAAATAAATACAGATTAACATTATACAAAGTCAAAGTGACAGACTTTGACTTTGACTCCCCTATACTTATTATACTCTTTGACTTTGACTTTAGTATTAAATAAATACAGATTAACATTATACAAACGGGTAACAACAACTGATATACATATATAACAGAATACAATATCTCATTATCATATTTACAAGTTTCAATTCACAATCTAAGGACAGATTTAAGAGGATTATTGACTACAGCTTGTTTAATAACCTGACGGACGGACGGGCCATTCTATTCGAGACGGGTTGAAGAGTTCTCTTGTCCTTTTCTTGAGAATTTTTTTTTATGGTATAAGCCGGTAAACGAGCAGACGGATCACCTGATGGTAAGCAATCGGCGTCGCCCATGGACACCTGAAACACCAGAAGCGTAACAAGTGCGTTACTGGCCTTTTAGGATTAGGAATTTGAGGATTGTTGGGGATTGGAGTAGAGGGGGTGTAATTAGGCCTCCAGTAACCTCACTCATACGACGAAACCCAACGCAAGCGTTGTTTCACGTCGATCTTCTTAGAGGCCGTGGTATCACTCCGGTCGAGCCGGCCCATTAGTGCCGAAGCATGGCTCTCCCACAAATAGAAAGAACAAGAGACTCAAGCTAGCGCGTAAGAAAAATCAAACAAATCCAACATTTATTATGTCCAAGTTTCTACAAAAAGTCTAATGTACATTTTACCTATTTGGTCGGTGTCTACGTAATCCCATAAGGATCAATCACTCTTCATTAGGCCCTCGTCTACTCCGATTGTCTTTTCTTTTCCTTGTTTATTTTAGTTTAGAGGAAAACCATCATTAAGGAGTTCGGATAATCAATCAACTAAGGTCGTTAATTGTATCAACTGACTTTACATACATTTGTATTACTAGTTAGGTTTTGTCTGACAAGGGTGAGTTGACGAAAGAGGTTTGTTTTATTTGTTTAGTACTATCGAGCATTACATTTAAATTTCAAGCTAGAATCCTAATTTCCTAAGTAATAAGATTGTTTTTATAATAACTATCATAAGACATACTAAATTAACTAAAAATCGCGGGTTTCTGACGTGAAAATACTGACGTAGTAGGCTGCGCCACATCGCCGCAACGGAGCATGCTGCTCATGAGAAAGAAAGAAAGCTTTTCTTAGTGTTCTCACGAGAATGAAGTATTACGATTTTCGATATTTAATAGAAACTAGCTCTTATTCCTCTAGCTCTAGCTCCTATTGACAATAGTGTAATGTTTTAAAGCCTATGTCACTCTTAATTCATTCAAGGGGTGGCTCTCACATAGCATCTATTATTTTGAATTACTTTAAACTCAGATTAATTTAAGTTGTTATTTTGTTAATTTAAAGTTGTTTACTATTGTCTTCCTTGTACAGCCTTTTTATGCATGTGGTGTTTACCTTTAAGTGATTGTAACACTAAAGTATGTATCTATTGCATGTAACCTAATATTTGATCTAGTGTGTACAATTGTTGGTGAATAAAAGAATAAAAAAAAATTAAAAAATCTCCACTTAAAAAATGATGGAAATTTGTCTCTTCGTTATTGCGTGAAAGACGAACAAAGACACAAGACAGACACACTGACTTTCGTACTTCAAATATTAGTGTAGTGTGTGTGTCACTTAGATTGGTATTATTGCAATCATGATTGCTGTCGACGGATTTTGATTCTCGGGCTGAGTCGAAATGTTACCAGAATTTATATATTTTCGCAATACTCAGTGATAACATGAAGTCTTAAATTAAACGTCGTTGAATTACATTATGTACTTGGCTCTTAACATTTATATTTCACTTAATTGACGCAATGTGGGCGTAGACACATAATATCATTATGCTAAAATAAACTTTAAAATAATTATCTTAAAGTCTAGAATTGCCTGCAAGCACAAAGTATAATTATTATTACGTAAGTAGCAGTACCTAGACTCACTCTCTAGTACTAAAATAACTTGTACTACATTAAAAAAACTATTAGTTAATAAAACTGAGAACACGCTTCAAATTACATATTCTCGCCACCTTTTTTTTTGAGGGGGGAAAATCATCCAATGCCTTTTCCCGCCTAGGTGAGGCGGGAGGGAGTGTCAGACTCTTACTGACTAAAAACCACCCCGTTCCTACTTCTGCACTTCAAGCTGGAGTCCCGGCAACCCGTTAAGTCTTCCGCGGCTCTGTATCAGCCCTGTAGGGCAACCAACCCCAACCGTGGTGGTCTGAGTTCGCTCGGGCCTGGGTGCTTACTCTTGAAACCAATCTCAATGTCAATGCAATTTCTATCCAATAAAATCTCAATAATTATTCAATGTCAACACTATACAACCACAATTGTAGCTGTTACAATAGCATTCAGAGTACGGAATATAACGCCATACTCAATACCATTTAGTTCATTCAATATCCACGCAATACGGATGCAATGGGCGCTAGTGTTGCAACTCAAGAGTACGAAATTTCACAATACCAATGTCGATCGATCGGAATTGGATTCAAGAGTAAGCCACCTGGTTCTGGTCGGGCGGCGAGTCACATATTTTCGCCACCAGGATATCTACCTAGGACCTATTTTTACTAGTAGGTAGTTCAAGTTTCATTAGTCTCCTTCCAATTCTATCATCAGACCAGCTTGATTTTCTCTTAACATTGCATGGTCTTCTAATCTACATAGAATTACAAAGTTTCATTATGTTAAAAGTTTCATTAGAAGTATGTGTAATTCCGATTCTTACTTACAGTTCGACCTAATATTAAAACAACAATTAGAAGTGTTAATTATTATTATTATGTTTTCGGCCTACTCACGTAACTGTTTGACGCCCTGAGTTCCTTGTCAAACGGTTATTAGCAAGACTGGCAAGTGAGCAAGCCGAAAACATAATAAATACTGAGAATGTACGACTGCACAGTTGGTGCGGTAGCTGGGCAACCGGCTGCCGTGCAACGTGTCGCGGGTTCGATTCCTGCACGAAACAACACTTTGTGTGATCCACAAATTGTTGTTTCGGGTCTGGGTGTCATGTGTATGTGAACTTGTATGTTTGTAAACGCACCCACGACACAGGAGATAATGCTAGTGTGGGGCAACGTTTAAGAAACAAAAAAGCAAAGAAAATTCCCACGAAAGTTATAATATAGAATTAGAAGTGTGTGTAATTCCGATAAAGAAGTGTCAATATAAATATACCTGTGTCTACCTCTTTAGTCAAGATTTTATCAAACCCTCTGACACCTTTAAAACGATTTCTCTCACAAAATTCTAAATCATCAAATTAGTCTTGAACTGATAACCGTCCGCATTATCACCCCGTTCCAAAGAGAATTATGATGAGAGAAATTTTGTTTTAAACTTTCCACCTGATTGTACTCGGTGGAATTTAGCAATTTCCTCTCGAGTAGATCCTGATTTGTCGTGTAGCTATGGTAGAGTAGGATACATTTTTCGCCACCTCTTCTCTTTCCATGGGTGTCTTAAGACTTGATTAATAGACTACATACTATATTTTAGAGACCAAGCAGCAGCGGTCTCTGATAAATCTGATGCTTCTAAACCGCAATCTCTAATCTGTCAGTGCAGAGATAATTTAAAGAGCCATTAGATCACCATAGTTCACACAGATCACACACCACACCACAGGGGCCCAGTAGGGCTGATGCTGATACAGAGCCGCTGGGGACTTAACAGATTCCCGGGGCTCCGCCTCGATGTGCCGAAGTAGGAAGGAGGTGGTTTTTATGATAGTCAGTAAGAGTCTGACATTCGCTCGAACCCAAAGCGTGAGAAGTCATTGAATGATTTTCCCCCTCAAAAAACCGTCTTTTGTGAATATGGTCCAAATTCAAAGCAATTATTTAAATTAATCCTTAATTAGGCACTTTTGAACCGTCAACAATAGATTAACCGTCCGCCTATCTGTTACTGAAGCTAGACGGTCGTTCCAAAGTGTAGTTTCGAATGGAGAAGAACGAGCAAGAAACTCCATTCATGCAAAACGCACCGACGTCCAGCAGTGAACCCTCTTAAGCTGTTCATGTATGTAGGCCCCGAACTTGTGAGAATATCGGAATAAAAATAGCCTACATCACTCCCCATGAAACTGCTTTCCAACATTGGAAGAATTTTCCAAATCACTCCAGTACTTTCGAAGAATTTCCTATACAACGTCCCAAAAACAATAAATAAAATAATCAATTTTTCTTTCTTTCATTCTTCTTTCTTTCAAAACTCCTGTAAGCCAGGGACTACAGTAGATACAACCATAAAAAACATCGGAACACTGAAGTCCGTCGCGTCCCACGGACATGGCTAACTGCTTTGGATCCAGCAACGACATAAGTGAGAAGATATTAATAGAGGAGAAAAAAAGGCTTACAGGAGTTGCAGCGGTTTTAGAAGGCTGTAGCGGGCTTGTCCCATTAAAAAAAATCTTAAACAAACAAACAATCAAAATCTTTCTTCTTCATAATATTTTATCTTACATTGACTATGTAAATTGGTTCAACTGTTCTCAAAGTTCCCGTCGTAAACCTTTATCGTGTTCCTTATAATTCTGGCTTACTTTATGCCGTTTTAATAATTACTCTCCTTACCTTTTTAAAGGCTTTTGTTCTTGTATGTAATTTTTAAAGACGGTTACGTTGCTATGTTAAAATGTTTTTTTTTAAACGTTGCCCCGCATTAGGATCTTCTCCTGTGTCGTGGGTGCGTTTACAAACATACAAATTCACATACACATGACACGCAGACCCGAAACAACATTTTGTGGATCACACAAAGAGTTGTTCCGTGCGGGTATCAAACCCGTGGCATACTGAACGTCAGGCGGTTGACCAGCTACCGCACCAAACATGCAGTCAATTACGCAATCCCTTGCAACGTACTTGTAACACCACTGGTATTGTGGGTATCCATATCTATCAATAGCTTTCCATCACATGGTAAGTCTGCTACTTGGCCACGTGGTTTAAAAAAGAATATACCTCTAATAATAGAAGCAGCGCGTCAGTCGCCGCGTCGCGGGTCTCGAAATGCTGCTAATGAATATGAGCCTCTAGCATGGCTTGAAACTAGTCGAGTTCCTCGTCAAATTATTACGCGAGTAAGCCGAAAACATAATCCTTACTAATATTAGAGTGAGTTTGTTTGTTTGTTCCGCTTTCACGACGTAACTACTAAACCGATTGCTTTGAATTTTTGCAGACGTAAAGTTATAAGTCTGGATTAAATAATAGGGTACTTTTTATCCCGGAAAAATTTGATATTCCCGAGGGAAAACAAAAGTATTGGTATAGACGGCGCTGTGTGTATTGGTATATGTTACATAGGCTACTTTTTATCCTTTCGTGACGCGAGCGCGACCGCGTGTAAAAGCTAGTAATTTATAAAGAATATAACATTAATGAATCCCATTATACTTAACAGTTCATAAAAAAAATCGCTCTGCATTAGAACAATCTAGAAGAAAACAACATCACATAATGCCAAACGTAGCTGTTAGCAAGCAAACTTTACCCGTAACACTTTGAATTTTTCTTTTCTTTCACTCGTTTTATCAAAACTTCGCCTTTTGCTTAAGGGGAAAAGTTGAAAACAGTTTTCTTCCTACGATCCTTTTCATACTTTTGTCCCTTCAACTTTGAAGTTAGGTTGTAAAATGTCAACTAATTTCGACCTTAATTTTACATTACATAACATGTCAGTGGTTTTAGGCAGGTTGTTAAAAAGTATGCCTTTTGGTATTTATTATAAGACTTTTATTCGTTTTTTTTTCGTTGCTATAATATGGGAGCAAGAGGTCGTAAGGACAAAATCTTAATTAATTTATGTCGTAACTGCTCGATGAGGTTCTCGACTAGTTTACAACCATGCCATGGGCCCATAGTAATTAATCCATAACCGATTCTACCGGAGTTATACCAGGGCCTCACAGAAAACCGACCTGAAGCAACGCTGGCGTTGTGTTTCGTCGTATATGTGTGGTTACCGGAGACCCAATAGAGACCATTAAAAACGTAAAAAAAAGAATTACTATTGTTGTCATTTTCGCAAATAAGAGACATTATTACAAATTAAATAAGACTTATTTTTCTTTAAACAAACAAACATAAGATTAACAAACCTAATAATGTGTGAGGCTACCGGAGGCCCAATAGAGAGCATTATAAACGTTAAAAAAAGAATTATTCTTGTTGTAATTTCCGCGAATAAGAGACATTATTTCAAACGAAATAAGAATTATTTTTCTTTAAACAAACAAACATTAAATTAACAAACCAAATAATGTGTGAGGCTACCGGAGGCCCAATTGAGAGCATTAAAAACATTAAAAAAATTACTCTTGTTATCATTTCCGCGAATAAGAGACATTATTACAAACGAAATAAGACTTATTTTTCTTTAAACAAACAAACATAAAATTAACAATGTTAATAACAAACACTTCTTACCCAAATAACTTCGAAGTAATTGTTTTTATTACACAAAACTTCACAGTACCATACATTTTGCTTGGAATGCTTGAATTTACTTACAGTTTCAACTGAAACTTGGCTATTAAGATAAACTTTACTATAATAATAATCATTCTGTTCTGTTTTGTTTAGCTTTTGACTTCTGCTACATATGTATGAGTTTTGAACTGAATCCAAGATGTTCGACGTCTGGTTTTCGTTTGTTTTCTACGTATAAGTTAGGTAGGTAGTAGTTAAATAGAACTGATTGAATTAAATAGAATGAATTTCGTGTTAAGAAGGTCTAAAGGGAGTGTATTTATCATCATCAACAGCCTATAAGTGGCCACTGCTGACCAAAGGCCTCTCACACGGAGAAGGTTTGAGCATAAATCAACACGCTTGCTCAATGCTGGTTGACGATTTCAAATTGATAATAAGAAATTATAAACTCAGGTTTCCATACCATTACATTGTACATTGTACAGTGGCATTAAGTGCTGTAATGTACACCTCTGCCTACCCCTTCGGGAATAAAAGGCGTGATGATGTTTCCTCACGAAGTTTTCTTTCACCATTTGTCAGTGGTGTCTAAATAATCTTCGAAAGTATGTATAACTCGGAAAAGTCACATTAAAATTTGTACTTGGAGTTGATAGGTTTCGAATCCGCACCCTTATGCATAAGAAGTGGGCGTCTTAAAGTGCGGCATCTTAAGCGGGGTGTATTATCATAGACCAATATCATAAAAACAGCTAAGGGCTACACGTCACCGGGATACCATGGCCGCGCAACCAGTTGCCGCCACCAACAATGTATATAGCTCTATAGAGAGTTAACTCAACTGGTTTCGGCTTGGTTACGCAACCAATCTGGTGGCGCGACCAGTGTGCTTACTCTTGAATCCAATCCCGATCGATCAACAGTGTTATTGTGAAATATCGTACTCTTGAGTGCAACACTAGCGCCCATTACTTCTGTCTTGGATGGATAATTAATGAACTAAATGGTATTTGAATTTATATTCGGTACTCTGAATGCCATTTTAACAGCTACGATAAGGGTTGTATAGTTTTGACATTGAATAATTATTGAGATTCTATTGGATTCAATTTGCTTTGAAATTGATATAGGTTTCAAGAGTAAGCATTCTATTTATTTTTTACACAATTAAAAACATGTGCCAGAGATTAAACCTACTTATTGGAGATAACGCTCAAGTTCGATCCTTGTACATACTGTTGACAACAATTCTCCGGGTTTTAAAGTGTTGGCAACAAACAGTTCCGATTTCTAAATATGAAGATTGATGAAAAAAGCAAAGGTTAAATTGTTTTCAAATTAGATAACTATAATTCATTTTATTCATTCTAATTCTTTGATCACAGCTCCAGAAGAAGGCCCATCGTCAGTAGAATGCGGAGGAGTGACGTCAACAGCTCTGCGCGTGAGTTGGCAGCCGATACCGCCCCACAAGCAAGCGGGCGCGCTGATTGGCTACACTGTGTTATACGCGGCGCAGGGTGGGTGTGATTGGTTGGATTTTTTTTTCTTATTGGATAAAAGAATCGAAGTCATGTTTTAGTATCATTAGTTTGATGTGGTCAGACTGAGACTCTTCTTTGATGGTTCCATTACTAAAAATATTGTCAAAACTCTTAGTCATAATGTATAGTTTCACTGCACGGTTATTGTGGTGGCTGGGCAACCGGCTGCCGTGCAGCGTGCCGCGGGTTCGATTCCCGCACAGAACAAAACTTAGTGTGATCCACAAATTGTTGTTTCGGGTCTGGGTGTCAAGTGTATGTGAACTTGTATGTTTGTAAACGCACCCACGACACAGGAGAAAATCCTAGTGTAAAACAAAGCTTTTTAAAAAAAAAATGCTATGTTTACCTTTTTTCTTGAGGACGCGACGGACGGACGGATACCTTCAGGATAAAAAAGTACTTAATGTGGGATATTTACTTCACTAAAACCACCTCGATGATAACCCTCAACACCTGTATGGAGACACCGGGTCCTCTAAAAGAGACGTGTCTCAGAGCCTCCACGGTGCAACGCCTGTTACAACTCATACCTAGGGTGTCTCTTAATGTTAAGTTTACCTACTCATCATTTATGCTACAATTGCTGCATACTAACTTCAAAAATTATGATTATTGCATTGTGGGTAAATTAAAGGGGGCCATATTTAAAAACCTGTTCATAAATAAACCCAGCATCTCTATCTCAATACACAAACACTGAAACCAACCAAAATTCAAATGTAGAGCCACACGATACCGTTGCAAAAATATCCCCAAACCGACTCTACCAATACCAACAAAACATATTATGATTACTTCCACTCCGTTGACCACAAACAAAAACAAGGTCTCTACCAAACTCTACATTCTACACAAAGCAATCACTATTCAGCCATACTGTCTCTATCATTATGCAAATCCAACAGGTCGACAATGGATGAACTCTACATCGCTTGTGACGGAACTTCGGCTGCAGGGACTCTACAAATTCACTAACTATACGGTCAAAGTGGCTGGGTTCTCTAACTATGGACTTGGGCCTTTCTCCTTTCCAATTATCTGCTCTACGTTGCAAGATGGTAAGATTTCTTGACTCTATGTAGAGTTTTATTATGTGTTTTTTTTTTATTTAACTGACGTGTATTATAAAAGTGTGAGCTATATTTTAAAGTTCAAAAAGTATTTTTATTTTAAACCATTCGTGAGACATACTAAATTTATTATTATTATTTTGGCTTACTCACGTAACTGTTTGACGAGAGACTCGACTAGTTTCAAGCCATGCAAGAGGCTCATATACATGAGCAGCCAGCTGCTACAGTCACCGCGTTGCGTGTCGCGGAATATAGCTTATAATAACAAGAAGTATTTGGTACCTGAACTAAAAAAACATATCATGAGATAATTTTACGTCACCCTATACATAGAATGACATGACAATAGTCAATCAAGAAAAATATACATAAAAAAAAATCTGCAAAATTCCTTCCCAAGCAATTTGTCAATCATAATTTTAAAGTTTCTTTTCCACTAAATCGATTCTTATTTTAGTGCCCGAAGCTCCAGCGGAGATCAAACTCTTAGCGCAATCATCGACCACACTACTGGTTAGTTGGAAGCGGCCCAGACAACCCAATGGAAGACTGCTACATTATACTGTATACTGCAAGCCTACTGCTAGGTACGACTTTTTTTTTAAACATAACATAACATCACGCCTTTTATCTCCGAAGGGGTAGGCAGAGGTGTAGATTATGTCACTGTACAATGTAACACCCATTTTTCACTATTTATGTTATGAGTCCCATGTAATAGGGGGTGAGCCAATTGCCATATACCGGGCACAATTCTAGACTCCGTGCTACTACAGAGATTTTTTTTAAAAACCTAATAATATTTTGCCCGATCCGGGAATCTAACCCGAGACCCCTTGCCCGGCAGTCGCACTTGCGACCACTCGGCCAACGAGGTAGTCTTTTTAAACAGAGTGTAAATAGAAGGCTCCCGTAGAACGCTGACAGTTGATGGTAAATAACAAGAATTATGTTCATAAAAGTAACGAGTTAAATGATATTTTATAATCATCAGATAATAGTTTGTAAACAACTGTTTATGTCTGATGGTGCATGAATAACACGGAAACAAAAACAATTAAAATATTGAAAACAATTTCTTTTTGTCAGCGTTTCGGGAGCGATGCGTTTACACCCTGTATTTAATGGTACGACGTTTGGCCACTATCTATCCCTATCTCTTTATCGCGGAGAACCTAACGGGTAACCGGGGCTCCAGCTCGACGTGCAGGAGAAGGAACGAGGTGGTTTTTAGTCAGTAAGAGTTTGACACTCCCTCCTGCCTCACCCAGGCGGGAGCAGTCAAACGATGATATTCCCACCTTAAAAAAAAATCCCTATCTCTTTATTATTAGAGTAGCTTAGATTTTCTGGACTACATGAGAAACTAGATATTCAATGCAGAAATACCTACAACATGTGAAAGCTATCGGACATCCACGTCTTTTATTCTCTTCTCATTATTTTTCTTCTACTGGCTTCTTTTTTTAAATGGGATCAACCGGTAATCGAACATACATATCACCTGATGGGAAGCAATCTGCCATAGACACCCGGAACACCAGAGGCGTTACAATTACGTTACCGGCCTTTAGGGATTAGGAATTTAAGGATTGTTGCGGATTCGGGGATAGCGGAGATTGGGCCTTACTCACAAGACGAAACACAACACAGGTGTTGTTTCACGTCGATTTTCCGTAATACCGTGGTATCACTCTGGTCAAGCCAGCCCATTTGTGCCAGAGCATGGCTCTCCTGCACTTAATAAAATTCTTCTTTTTAATATTCATTCTGGTTTTCTCTACACAATTACTGAATACTAATAGGTTTTTGATCCACAAAAATAAAGAAACAAAATCATGTCATTGAGTTTGCTATCGACTTTAATTCACAAGAACTTTATAATGAAACAAACTTACTTCTCACGATGCAATTCCTCCAACCAGCAACGACGGCCCACAAGCCATTAGAGTGGACGTCCAGAGCATAATAGAAGCCTATGAGAAGTCCCAGACTTTGGAACTAAAAGGCCTTATGGAAGGACGTCAGTATGATGTTTGGGTGACTGCTAGTACTGCAGTGGGAGAAGGACCAGAGAGCCGAAGGGTTACCAATACTCCTTCGCAAAGAGGTAAGTGTAATTTGGTCCTTTGGTACGAAAACGTTGATTTGGAAATTGGAGCTTATTTGTAATGGGTGTGGTTGAGTTTTGATTGTTTCTTTATTTTATTTAGTAATGAAATCTCCCTATATGTAGAAAGCTGAAAATACAGAGCTGCCTGTATTGACATTTTATACAGGAAACAAAAAATATTTAATGAACTTCTCGATGTTTGCTTTATTTAGCAAATTCACGATCTTAGGTTTACATTAACATATTATGCCTTTTATCCCCGAAGAGGTCGGCAGATTTGCACATATTACGACACTTAACGCCCGCCACTATAAAATGTATAAATGTTGGCCCGACCCGGGAATTGAACCCGAGACCCCTTGCCCGGCAGTTACACTTGCGACCACTCGGACAAAGAGGCAGTCTCAGCATCTTAGGTTTAATGTTATATTTATCAAATTTTCTAGTGACGAGTGAAATGTTGTTTTGAATGTGTCTAACCTCTTATTACAGAGACTAATTACAATAAAGGCAAAAAGTGTCTTACAACTTGATCTTTTTTCATAATTATCATGTATAATAACAACCTACCCATACCATCAGAACTAACTCAACGCGCTCCATAGCACCACGAACATATTATTATCTACATTACTATAAAAACAAAAGGAAATCGAGAGCGCATCCCATAACATATTCTTACACTCACTTTGACAAATATTTATATACCCAACAAGTAGTTGTTCCGACCCATCATACGATTGTTTGTCAACATACTAGCACACTACACATCTAGCTGAACAAAAATTATCTTGGTCCCGCTTTATATGATCCTTCCGTACATTCACCGGTCAGTTTATACTGGTTTTCTGTAGCTTGATGTGAGGCGATATTCAGTGTGAAGGTTCAATGGAAGAAAACGCCTTGATGTAATGTTGTCGTTTGAATGGAAAAATATGCGTTGGATATGTTTTTGTGTATTGTGTTAAATTCAATTCGGAATGTGATGGATTATTTCATGTGACACGAGGTTTTGGGATTTGAGCTTCCGTACCAAAGGACCAGATTATATTATTTGTTTTCCATAATAAATTGAAGCATAGTACTTCACAGTTTTTGATTCTGAACAATGATCTACTGTTTTTCTGTAGCGTCACACTAAAATTAAAATTCTAAATTGTTATTTAAGAAATGTCGTTGAATAAGTAAGTAATTAACTGATTGAAATATATATAGATGCTAATGCAATATATATAGATGCAGATATATATATATGATTGCAACATATTGCAATACTTTAGAACAGTGTTGATTTCATAATATACGGTTTTCGGACTTAATCGAAAAGTCATAAGGAACAAATTGGAAATAATGTAGATTCTTAAAAACAGATTTAAATAATGTATTAGTATTAGTATTCAATACTACACTGTAGTCTAAAAAAAGATCTTTTACTTCACAGCTTGTCTTATTCTCTAAATATTAACTGGATTTTTGTTTGATCTAGTGGTAGCAGGAGTCGCGTCCCTCGGCGGAGAGATCACAGTAGCAGTAAGGAACTCCTTGCTACTTGAATGCCGGAGTGTCGGCTCCCCGCCTCCAAGGACCGTTTGGTATCACAACCAGAATATCATCACACATCACCCACGATTCACAAGGAATAGAGATGACAGTTTGCTGATTAAGAGTGAGTGGACATCTTGATTTATTTTTTGTTATGTAAAAATTATTAGGAGTAGGCTAAGTAAAGAATATGACAAATACATGCTATTTCTTATTCTACTTTATAATGATGGGTAAGGTGGGAGGGTAGAAAAGCGCTGGGTGAAGGAAAAAGTCGTGGCTGCCCAATATTCGGGAGTGGACTGGTATCAGCTCTGTGGAGCAACTTTTCCGCCTGGCCAATGACAAGGACCAATTCAAAAAGTTGACGGCCAGCCTTCAGGAAAAAAGTGGCACCATAAAAAGAAGAAGAAAAAGTAAAGAATGAGATTGAGTTAAACAAAAAATAGAAGAAAATGAATCTCGTTTCTTGGAAATACACCTTTAGAGTTTGGCTTCCATTGTTGTTGATTGTTGATGAGCCCGATTTCCCAGTCATTGAAATTCGTGTTGAAATAATACGTACTACAAATTCGCTCAATTTTGACAATAATCTAGCCTATTTACAGAAAACCGGTTGTAACTAGTTATCAAAATCAAAATTCTGTGATGATAATTCTTTCGAAAATCTTCTCTATAACATTCCTTTCTTTTCTTTTAGGCATAGACCAATCCTTAAGCGGGAATTACACGTGCTTAGCCAAAAACCTGTACGGTTCTGATTCAGTGGTGTTCACGGTTAAAGTATTGCCCTTACCTGACCCACCCACGTTGAGAGCTACGCCTTATAAAGACTATATTATGGTGGAGTGGGATGAAATCAGATCATATGGCAACGATTCTATGGGATTTGGAATAAGTAAGTTGATTTGTACTTAATTGTTATTGGTATAAGTTCTTGTTTTGGGTGATGATGTGCATTGTAGACATGAACAGTCATGTTTATCTGATTCTTGTTTAATATAAAGGTTTGATATCATTGTTGTTCGCAATAGAGTGGAGTTTGATATTTTGTTTTCAGTGCTACCCCTAATTCAATTTAACTATTATTATTAATAACCTTTGCTTTTTTGAATGTATTCCAAAATTTTATCATATCTGTTTACCAAATGATATATTGTTCATATTAATACAATATTTGCGGTGGCTCGGAGGTTTAAGACCCACCTCTCATGCATGAGAGTGCGGGTTCGAAACTTACCAACAGCAAGCACCAATGTGACTTTTGCCGAGTTATATATACTTTCTAAGCTTATCTAGACACCACTGACAAAGGGTGAACGAAAACATCGTTAGGAGTTTGTAATCGCCAACCCGCATTGAGCAAGTGTGGTGATTAATGCTCAAACCTGCTCCGTGTGAGAATAGGCTTAGCTCAGCAGTGGGCATTTATAAGCTGTTGATGAATACAAAATACTTTTTTCCTAGGTTACAACCTCACATGGAGAGAGAATGACGGTCTCTGGCAAGAAGCATGGCCAGTGTCCAGAGAGAACCGTCTACCTGGAGTACAGACTCATACATTAGCTGGCCTAAAATGTGGAACTAAATATTCAATAAGAGTAACTGCTACTGACAGTGTTGGGACTTCTGCACCAGCTCATATTGATGTCACGACTTTGGGTGGAGGTGAGTCTTATGTTTTTTTTATGGCATAAGCCGGTAAACGAGCAGACGGATCACCTGATGGTAAGCAATCGGCGTCGCCCATGGACACCTGGAACACCAGAGGCGTTACGAGTGCGTCACCGGCTTTGTGGGGATTAGGAGTCTGAGGGTCGTTGGGGATTCAGGGATTGGGGAGATTGGGGAAGGGGAAGGTAATTGGGCCTCCGGTAACCTCACTCACACGTCGAAACACAACGTTGCTTCATGTCGGTTTTCTGTGAGGCCGTGGTATCACTTCGGTATTAGAGCTGTGTACACTTGATTATGTTTAGTTGGTAAGGTTCAAGATGCTATGATGAAGGATAGAAAATAGTGACCGAAGATTTAGTGCCGAATCCAAATTAGGTACTTTGGATATTCAATACAAAAATGTTTATGAAGAGTTTTGCCTTTGATAAGTGACTCAAAATGAGTATTGGTCTTCGATAAAGAAATTTGCCAATGATAAAATTGAGGCTTCTGAGCTGAGTGACTTTTTGACGTTCTTTGATTGAGGGAAGGTGATAGTTCCGTGGAATAGTGCAACTTTTAGATTCAAAGTAACATAACATAACATCACATCACGCCTTTTTATCTCCGAAGGGGTAGGCAGAGGTGCACATTTCGGCACTTAATGCAACTGTACAATGTAACACCCACTTTTCACTAATTATATTATGAGTCCCATGTAATACCCCTATTAGTTGGGTGTTACAATATTTGCAGTGGCATAATGTGCACCTCTGCCCGGTGCCCGGATAAAAGGTGTGATGTTATGTCACAATGAGTTGTTTCAACAATCGAACCCGCGACACGTCGCACGGCAGCTTGTTGCCCAGCCACCGCGCCAACTCTGCAGTCATATTTAACCCAGACTCTAATATATGTATTATAGGGCTATATGTACCCAAAAGTTTCATTCCTAATCTCTCATTAGTCATTACTATTATCAAACATACCCTTCTACTTTATTATATTAGTACAGATAAATAGTGGTCGCGTTACATGGTCCCTACGTGCTAATCGCTTCGTCGGGGAAATTAGGCCACAATCTGTTTGTATGGGAATCTAAGGCCAAGGATACACTAAGGGAAAAATGTTGGACGACATGTATCGGCGATTTTGCCTGACATACAATTTTTTTATTATGGCATAAAAATGTTAAACGAGCAGACGGATCACCTGATGGTAAGCAATCGGCGTCGCTCATGTACACTTGGAATACCAAAGGCGTTATAAGTGCGTTATCGTCCTTTTGGGATTAGGAATTTGAGGATTATTGGGGATTTAAGGATTGGGGAAGGAGGAGGGGGGGGATAATTGGGCCTCCGGTACCCGGTGAGTGAGGACTCACACGACGAAACACAACGCAACGTTGTTTCACGTTGGTCTTCTATGAGGCCGTTGTATTACTCCGGTCGTATCGTGCCGAAGCATGGCTCTCCCACACTTGCACTATAGATTAGAGGTACATAGCGTTTTATGTCCACTATGGCGTTGATGCTGCTGGCATGTCGACCAAAGTCCGGCAAAGTCGTACTACTTCACCCATCGCTGCTGGTGACTCGTGTCGCAGAACATTTAGCCCCTATTGTATCCTAGGCTTAAATCAACATCGATGTATGTACATACGTGACTCAGTTCTTGGTAAATGAAGATTGTTATATTGTTACTCTTTTGTTTATTTTGATTTTCTAGATTGGGAATAGATTGCGGATTAATCAGCTGGTCTTTAGTAAATGTATCGAAGGAGTTGTTGATTTTATTTGAAGGTTAGTCGGTAATGGTGATTATTTAAGATATTTACTGACATTGCATATGATATTTTTTTGTACATTTTATGTTTTTTTTGAAAAAACGTTGACGCACACTAGAATTGTCCACTGTGTCGTGGGTGCGTTTACAAACATACACGTTCACCTACACATGACACCTGGGTGTCATGCCCGGGTCTGGACCCGGAACAACTATCTGTGAGTGATTCACAGATTGTTGTTCCGGGATAAAGAGTTTTTTCTGTGCGGAAATCGAACCCAGCAGCCGGTTGCCCCAGCCAGCAGCACCAACCGTGCCGTCATATCTTTGAAACAATTAGCTATCTAGTTTCTTGATTACTCTTCTTCATGCACATCAACAGTTTAAAATGCACAGCTAGATTTCTAAAAAGACTGACTTACGAACTTGGATAGACAGTTTCAAAATTCTTGATAAAATGTCCAGCTTAACCTACATAAGTTATGTTTTAAAATTCTTCCTTTCTGATACTTTTATTTATGGGATAAGCCGTTAAACGAGCAGACAGATCACCGGATGGTAAGCAATCGGCGCCGCATATGGGCACCCGAAACAGCAAAGGTGTTACAAGTGCGTTACCGGCCTTTTAAAATAAGAGTACATGATATGCAAATGTGTGTCTCCATTATAACGAACCAAAATTACACAAAATACTTTTGTGGTAATCTAGCTTTACGAATCTATTCTTTATCTTCATACAGCACCAGTATCCCCACCATCAACCGACTGGCTCTGGAGCAACGCCACTCATATCTACATTCAGCTCAGCGGTTGGGACGACAGTGGCTGTGACGTCACACGATGGGAAGTAGACTATAGACTCCTAGGATCCAACATCTGGCAACGAGCTGAGAATAAAGCTGTGAGTATGATAGTGTTTTGTTTTATTTTTGTAGAAACGTTTTGGAAGCCATTTTAAAATTGGAACATTTTTTTTTTCTATATTTAAAAGTTGGTATACTAAGCGCCGGTTTTACTATCTCCATATAAGTACCTGATTTTATATGACAGATAGTTTATACAAATTGCGTTCTTAATTCGAATTTATCTGGTAGATAACGGCTATCCAGATATTGTGAAACAGGGCTTTTTTTAGTGTCCAAACTCTTACTGACTAAAAACCACCCCGTTCCTACTCCTGCACTTCGAGCCGGTGCCCCGGCAACCCGTTAAGTCTTCCGCGGCTCCGTATCGGCATCAGCCCTGTTATAGGCCCCATCTGCGGTGGTCTGATGGCTCCTTGAGGCACGCGCGGAACACGACGCGCCGTACGCTCAGGCCTGGTTCTGGTCGGGCGGAGAGTTCTGTGCTCGCCGTCCGCAGGCCGCAGGCTTACGGTGGCCGGAGATCGTGTCAAAAAGGCCCTAAGTCTTTTAGAATAACATCGGTTTCAATGACCGTTATACCCACTCCTATGGCTTTTTTTAAGAGAGTGATTTCAATTGAGTTTTCGATTGCAAAAGATTTTGATATCTCAATTTAGTCGAATTAGATAACAAAGGGCAATTGTTGAGCAAAAAGTTTCAAGTTAAACAATTCGAACTCAAAATCCAAACGAAATATAAGAGATTTTATTTCCAAGTTTTCAATAGCATCATATGCAATGATATTTTATGGCAAAGCAATGAGGGACTACATTACCTTCCTGGCCAAATTTTGATGCATGTAACTATAAACTCTCTGACCTGCCTGACTGCCTCGTTAACCGAGTAGTCGCAAGTGCGACTGCCGGGGCAAGAGGTCTCGGGTTTGATTCCCCGATCGGGCAAAGTATGTATTACTGGGTTTTTAAAAATTCTCAATAGTAGCACGGAGTCTGGAATTGTGCCTGGTATATGGCAATACGCTCACTGTCTATTACATGGGACTCATAACATAAATAGTGAAAAGTTGGTGTTACATTGTACAGTGGCATAATGTACACATCTGCCTACCCCTTCGGGGATAAAAGGCGTGATGTTATATATGTTATGTAATTATAGACTCATATAGACACTAAATTAAGTAAAATCGCGGGTTGGGCGTTGGGCTCGCAGCGCAAGTAGCAACACCGAAGCGAGCGCCAACGCCAGCCAGTGAGCTGCGCGACGTCGCCGCGACCGCGTACGCTGCTCATGAGGAAGAACCCCTCTGTGGTTCAAAACTAGTAGAGCTTTTCTCAATATATTCACGTGAGTAACCCGCGATTTTACTTAATTTTGTATGTCTCACGATAGTTATTATAAAAAAAAAATATAGAGACCTTTTGAGAAAACCAACTATTTTGAACAACTCCTTTTGTTCCTAGCCCATGGACCTAAACCTCGGTTGGAGTTACATCGAGGGCCACTATCAGGCCCCACCACTACGCTCCATACCGACGTCATACGCAGTCGGATCTCTCGCTCCCGCGCACTGGTATCAGCTAAGAGTGACTGCGATAAACGACGCTGGCTCAGCTTCTACCGTTTATACTTATGCCACCAAGACTTTGGATGGAGGTAAGTTGTTATTACTTTTGTTTATAGTGTGATGTTGGTTTAAATAAAAAAAATACGTGTGATTGACGAATAATGTGTTTTGAGTTCAATTTCTGTGACGTAGGTACAATGTATTTGCTAAGTTCACGTATCGACTGCCTTGTTGGCCGACTGTCCGGGCAAGGAGTTTCGAAACCAATTGCCGGGTCAGGCCAAGTATTATTAGGATTTTCCAAAAAAAGTAGTACCTAGGTAGAAACGGCATTTGGGGGAAACGTTAGTTTTGAGATTTCAAATTCTATTTGCCAACCGTGAAAACTAGTCATAGATCTTCAAATAAAGCATTAAAATCAAAATATATTTTACATAACACAACATCACGCCTTTTATCCCCGAAAGGGTAGGCAGAGGTGCACATTATCTGCGGCACTTAATACCACTGTATGTAACTCCCACTTTTCACTATTTCGGTTATGATTCCCATGTAATAAGGGGTGAGCCGATTGCCATATTATATACCGGGCACAATTCCCGACTTCGTGCTATTATTGAGATTTTTTTGAAAACCTAGTCATACTTTGCCCGACCCGGGAATAGAACCCAAGTCCCTTTGCCCGGTAGTCGCAATTACGACGACTCGGTCAACGAGGCAGTAATATATTTTATTAGCTTAATAACATAAACATAACTGCTTTATCATAACCGTTTACAAATCAAATCACGTCCTGTAATCAATTCAGCTTATTAATTTGTAATTACAGAATTATAAGCCTCGAAGGACCAATTTGTGTACAGAGCAAGTTCAATAATTCCTTTAGGACCAAACTTATTAGTTCTCCAAATCTATTTACACAACATCATTAGCTTATAACTTGGTTACTGTTATTATAAACATGACATAATGTTAATTTAACCCACGAAGGGAGGGGTAGAGATACATTTTTTTATGGGATTAGCCGATAAACAAGCAGACGGATCACCTGATGGAACACCAGAGGCGTTACAAGTACGTTACCGGTCTTTTGGGGATTAGGAATTTAAGGATTGTGGCGGATTCAGGAATTGGGTAAGGGAAGGGTGGTAATTGGGCCTACGGTAACCTCACTCACACGACGATACAAAACGCAAGCGTTGTTTCACGTCGATCTTCTTTGAGGCCGTGGTATAAGTCCGGTCGAGCCGGCCCATTTGTGCCGAAGCATGGCTCTCCCACACTTGCATGTAAAAAATAAGTATGCATGTAATAAATATTTGTTAATTTATTTTTATTTATTACTTGCATGTGATAAATAAAAATAAATAAACTGTTTCCATCCACACCTGCGACCTAGTACCAACTTTAGTTGGACAAGATATTATTAATGTTAAGTTTATACACACCTACACGTTAAACTATACAAAGCCAGTATAAACTGACCGTTGAATCTTCGGAAATATTATATAAAGCAGGACCTTGACAGACTGGTTTGTTTAGCTTGATGTGAGTACAAAGTTTGACGGTGCGAAGTGAACGGTCATTTAATATTCATTTAGTTGAGAACTGTCTCGTAGTATCAGTCAAGGGTGAAGCGAAGAGTTCTGTCTCGAGAATTCGAGAATTGGGATGATGACAGGGTATAAAAATTAAAAATGTATTTAGTCCGTAAGTTATGTAATGAAAAATTATAAGACACGATTGGCAATAGGCTCACTCATAACATAAATAGTGAAGTGTGGGTTACATTGTACAGTGGCACTAAGTTCCGTAATGTTCACCTCTGTCAGCCCCTTCGGGGATAAAAGGCGTGAGGTTATGTTATGTTGTGTAATTATGACCACCTCTACCGACCTCTTCGGAGATTAAGTCATTATGTTCAACTACTTCTTTGGTCTTTATATCGTAATAACAAGAGTACCTAATGCTTACAATCAATAAAATAACCTTATACAAAATGTTCAGCAAAATTCATAGGAAAAACTTCTGACATGATTAATTTAATGTCTTACAAAATATCCTATTATAAGTTTAGTAGAATCCTTGGAATCAGGTCATTGACCCGACAATCTCACTTATTTCCTTAATGTAAATAGTTTGGAAGCCATGATCGATCACCCGGCCTTGTAGAACAACAAATTGGTTTTAAGGTTGCTTCACACTGGTTGGTTTTAGCTTTAATACTATTCAAACAATGTTTGTTGAAAAAGACTGCCTCATTGGCCGAGTGATCGCCAGTGCGACTGCCAGGCAGGGGTCGGGCAAAGTATTACTGGGTTTTTAAAAATCTCAGTAGTAGCACGGAGTCTGGAAATGTGCCCGGTATATTGCCATATACTAGATACTACATAGGCTCACCCCCTATTACATAGGACTCATAACATAAATAGTGGGAAAAGTGGGTGTTACATTGTACAGGGACAATAAGTGCCGCAATGTGCACCTCTGCCTACCCCTTCGGGGATAAAACGGCATGATGTTATGTTATGTGTTAAAAAAGATACCATGCGAAGTAGTGGTCAAACGTCGGCCCATCAAAAAAAAAAAAAAAAATCATAAGCAATCAGTGACAGGGACAGGCGACGATGAAGCCAGTACGGTGACGAACAGGTCAACCTATCTTTTTCAACCAAATTTCTCTATTATATCATTTCACTTATAGTCGAAAATCCAATGAATTTGACAGATTGGAGTAGGTAGGTTTATGTGCTGGCCAATCAATGTACATATGTACATAAGAGGGTTTACAATAACTTTTACGCTTGGTAATAATAGAGTTGAAGATTGCAGTTCATGTTCGTACATCTCCCATTTCTTTAACCTTTGAACGCACTGATATGAGACACTACCTCTATAGAAAATACATTGTGTTTCGCGTGGATCCACGTCTTAGACACACGACAGGTTAACAGAGAACTCTAGGTGTCTGGGCTCTGTCAAATATGTGGTCCCTTAATCGACTCTTGTAACACATTTTTTTTGAAGGGTGAAAATCATCCGATGACTTCTCCTGCTTTGGGTTAGGCGAGAGATAGTGTCGGATTCTTACTGACTAAAAACCACCCGTTCCTACTCCTGCACTTCGAGCCGGAGCCCAGTGTAACGTTGGGCTTTATATTGCAGCCTCTACGTCAGGGTGTGAGGTGGAAATGAGGTTCGAATGCGCGAAAACTATAGTGAAAACGTTTATTAACTGAACAGGTGTCTATAAAACTACACAAACAGGGGTTAACTTAAAATTAGTTAATGTAATAGGGTGCCTCGCGGAATAGCGGCTATGCGCTCTCGCGGCTAGTTGTCCACTGTCCTTGGCGGGGTTCGCTTTCACTCCGTTAGGCCTTCCGCGGCTTCGTTCTTGTAACACCTATGAGTAGAATAGTGTTAATGACAGATTTATTTTATCGTACCATTGCGATACTGTAATAGAAAATAAGGACGGGAATAATATTAATCTAGGAAAAGCAACAACACGTTTAACAAATCTTTCTAGAACATTCGTACGTACTTACATACTCTCGCCTGTCTCCCAAGGCGGTACGGAGGGACTATAGAACGCCAATTGCATGCCTCTTTCGCTTCATCAGTCATCAGTCAGTTCATGCATGCTCGTCGGCTATACGTACTTTTGATTTGACCCTTCTTTAATATACCATCTTTCTAGAAAACGATTATAATGTCACAAAACAAAATCGCGCGACTATCATTCAATATGAAACACCCCTTACACTTCACAAGACATAATTGTTAACAAATGACAGAAGTTTGATCGAAACTTAGAAGTTGTGTATCAAAAGTTAGTATCTGAGATGCTTCAGATGAAATTGTCTCGTTCAGTTTAGTTCAAGTTTGAGTAATAACTTAATAAACGTGGGCGCATTGTGGAGATTGTGTTTAGAACTTTTGACTTTCAATTTTGTAAGTATGTTGGTTATGTACTTTTAGCAATACAGGGTGTCTATTGTAAGCGGGGGAATTGCAAAACTTGATTCCCCTTTTTTTTTTAAATCATCCAATGACTTCTCCCGCCTGGGTAAGGCAGGAGGGAGTGTCAGACTCTTCCATCATCGTACCACAAGACAATCGGTGAAGCATCATCTATTCATAGTAAATGTCCCACCGACACGGACGAAGCGCTACGCATCAACGTTTTTCTTCGCTTCTTTGCCAGAGTCTATGTTTCCTGAAGGGTTATAACCTGGGTGTCTTCAAGGCCCGAGTGAGTAGGTTGCTTATGGGTCGACGAGCTCCATCGTATATGGCAATAGGCTCACCCCCATTACATGGGACTCATAACATAAATATTGAAAAGTGGGTGTTACAGTAAGTGGCATTAAGAGCCGTAATGTGCACCTCAGCCTACCCCTTCGGGGATAAAAGACGTGATGTTATGTTTTAGAATTGTAGGAGTTTTAAAAACCGAGCAATCACGAGACAAATTGTACGAGAGAAAGTTCCAGATTCCCATAGAGATTTTTGGAAGGAATTCAAATGAACGAAACCTTTGCAAACAGCGCGTTTAGAAGATTTTGTTTTTCTGTTTATGTTAACGCTTTGTTTTGTTATAAATTTTCTTGTGGTTACTCCAAAAGCTTTGTGATTTAAGCAAGTTCGTAATTTCTTTTGCAAGTTCGTTCTTTTGTTTATTATAAAATTTCGTTGTTTTTCTCTAAGGTTCCAATTTTGTTTTGGCTGTCATTTTGTTCCTTGGAGATTAGGTAATGGTTGGACAAGTCCAACAGGGACAAGTCACGACACAGTTTCTGACTCTTTAAAAGTTAAGCAAGTTATTTAGCTGTTCGAAATATAGTTCTATTAACGAATACTACTGAAACTTTGCCTGAATTGTACTGTCTATGTCTATGATAATTTTTCAGTTCTTACAAAATAGCCTGGAACTATCACTGACAACAGTAGTATTATAAACCATAGAGGATTTGAGATAAAACCAGCGAAAATTCGGAGTCAATTTGCACCGTCACACTTAGGGTAAAAAATAGTCTCCTAATACACTTAAATAATATTTTATTAATAATTATAAAAATTAAATTGCTTTGTACAGCGTAAAAAAAACTATCACCTTTAAAACCTTCCCTGGACTTCCACGAACATTTCAAGATCAAAACGGTAATTTATTTTTATTTATATATGTCGGAGATACGCTACCAGTGGGTCGCGACATTGTCAAATCACACAAAATTACAGATAATAGTGAGAATGCAGGAAGTTTAGCGGGGAGTAACTCGGTCTTTCCAAAACTGTTTCCCGCGCCCAGTGACGTCTGTCAACGTCATTCGCTGTCAAATGTCAAAGTCTGAGTAAACATCCGTATCGATTATTCCATCGGTGTTGCCATTACTCCGCGCTTACCATCCTCAAGTAATTACTTGACGTTCTCAAACAATAGTTGCCACATCTAAATCGATTGATATGCGTTGACGCTTCGACAAAGATATATACGCTAAAAAACAAACTTAATTGTCCGATTAGACACAGTTACGCAAATATAACTTTGTCAAATGTAGGTTGCCCGTTGGTGGGTCTTAGGCTGTAACTGTAGGGTCGATGATCGATAAATAATTTGTAACTTTGTATGTATGTTTGTTACTCAATCATGTCAAAACTGCTGATGAGATCGGATTGAAATTTGGAACAGAGATAGATTTTTTTAAGGGAGGAATATCATCGAATGTCTTCTCCCGCCTGGGTGTGGCGGTAGGGAGTGTCAGACTCTTACTGACTAAAAACCACCCTGTTCCTACTTCTGCACTTCGAGCTGGAGCTGAGCCCCATCTATGGTGGTCTGATGGCTCTTTGAGGCGCGCGCGGAACGCTACGCGCCGCACGCTCGGGTCTGGTTCTGGTCGGGCGGCGACCTACCCATGCTCGCCGTCTGCAGACCCGCGCTTACGATGGCCGGACATCGTCCCGCGATCCCCGACGCCCGGAGTGTCCTTCGCGACGGTTGGGTTGTGAGGAGGCAGCGTTTTGCTGCCTCATGCCCCTCGCCTCCTCCTTAGCTAGCATGACTACATCGCAAAAGGAGGAGACGGCATCCGTCCCCCTCGCTCCGCATCATGACCCGCACTAGGGCCGGACGCGAGAGGTCGCCGTCGCCGATCACATCCCTGAGGGCACGGCGGTGATTAGCAGGGCATTCCTCTACTGTGTGTTCCACCGTATCATCAGGGTGGTCCTCGCAGTAACAACAGAGATAGATAATGGTCTGGAATCACACATAGGCTTCTTTTGTACCACAGGAACGCGGATGAAACCGTAGGCAGAAGCTAGTTTTCAATATGTCTGTAATACAAGAACTATTCAAACTATCATACAAATATCCTGTTCAGTCTGAACACTACCGACATATATATTATGTACAACTTGGAGCGATATTATCGCACTATGTTGAAGTTAGATTGATGTCTGCAATATATTGTTACATACGTTATTGTTCCGTGGTATATTCGATGTAAATAGGGAATGAAATATGAATGATAATATTGCATGTAGGTAAATAAGAGTTTGTTCTATTGTTTCTTGTGTTACTGCTGCTTCGCTTCGCGTTTCTTGTGTTACTGCTAAGGTGTCTTGGGTTCGATTTCCGGGTCGTTCAAAGTATTACTGGGTTTTAAAAAATCTTAGTTGTTGCATAGAGACTGAAATTGTGCCCGGTATATGGAAATAGGCTCACCCCCTATTACATGGGACTCGTAACATAAATAGTGAAAAGTGGGTGTTACTTTGTACAGTGGCATAATGTGCACCTCTGCCTACCTCTTCGGGGATAAAAGTCATAACATCACGTTATGTTATGTTAATAAAGTTAGTGAAATAATGTATGTCTTTGTTACAGAGGAAATCGGTCCACCATCAGATCTGGTCGACTTGAACATGCTGGTTATCATCTGCAGCTCCATACTTCTCGTTATATGTCTTATGGCATTCTTCTGTATACTGTTCAGAAGGCATCGGTAAGTGAATATTGTTTATTTTTGTATTTCTTTTATTATTGTGTCTACTTTTACTTACCACATGGTAATGTGTATCATTGCCATTTTTGACCACGTCAATGGTCAAACGTGCTTCATTGTAGGCCTTACCATCGCGGCTCTACCAGGCGAGATGGTGTACAAACGAGTCAACGTTGGCTACTATCACACGATAAATAAAATAAAAAATAGTTATCTTATACTATCTTATACTATTATATATAGCGGAAGAGTTTGTTTTTTTGTTTGAACGCGCTAATCTCCGTAACTACAAGTCTGGTTTGAATAATTATTTTTGTGATAGATAGCGCATTTTCAAAGATGGCTATAGGCTATAAAACATCACGCTATCATCACGACCAATAGGAGCTAAGCAAAGTGTGTGAAACCGCGAGGAAGTAACCAGTAGTTTCATAAGACGTAGACCTAATATAAACCATTGATAAAATAAACAGCCGTGTGTAATTTCATCTCTTTGTCTTTTATTTTACGGCTTCATTTTGACTGGCATAGTTACGATGGAAACTAATATACTTTATTAAAATTCAAGTTACCGTATTATTGTTATACAATACCTACTCTAACAATAACAGACATATTACATTAAATTAACTAGAACAAAACAACAGTTGATATAATATTCAATAATTACAAATAAACAAACAATTTGTGTTAACACGCTCGCATTATCCACAAACAAATATTAATTATACTACTATATAAACTGATGTAATTACTCGTTATAAATTGTCAATTTGATTGGCAAAATATTGCGTCCGTACTGGTAGCATAGAAAGGAAAAATTGTTTTCTTTTTTATGGGATAAGCCGGTAAAAGAGCAGATGGATTACCTAATAGTAAGCAATCAGCGCCGCCCATGGACACCTGAAACACTAAGGCGTTACAAGTGCGTTACCGTTAAAGTATAGTTTTTACCGACTTCAAAAAAAGGAGGAGGTACTATGTTCGGCTGATTGTTTTTTTTTCGCTTTTTTTTTTGTTTGTTCGCGCAGTACTCCGCCATTTGTGAACCGATTTCGAAAATTCTTGTTTTGTTTGAAAGGGTATACTTCCGAGATGGTCCAATTTCCATGAGGTCAGGATCTGATGATGGGATCCTAGGGTAACCGAGGGGAACTTTCGAAAATTCTATGGGCGAGTAATGCGTCTATTATGTTTTTCAATTAGGATTTTTAAACACTACAATTTGATAAGGGTCTGGAGTCGACCTGATGATGGAGCAGACAGACAGTCGAGGGAACTTCTCGGCGGTTTATATTAACTACCTTGTGTTTGGGCTTGATTAATTTGTATTGATGAGGACTTTACACCTAGATAGAGTGGGGCTGTCATTAAGGGTCTGATGATGAAGAAGTGTAATTGTTAAGGGATCTCCTCAACGGTATACAGTAACTACCTTGTGTTTAGGCTTGTATAATTTGTATTGATTAGAACTTTGCACCTATGTAGATTATAAGTAATAAAACGGGTATATGTAGCTTTACACTGAAAATTATGAAATAATAAAACAAAAACTGCGTTTAAAAAACCGACTTCAAAAAACCAAAAACTAATAACAAACATAAAGTCAAAACTAAAAAGCAAAAAATAACTATTATTAGTTCTTATAGGTTACCTACCCACTGATAGGTTAGAAGTCGGTGCCATAAGCTCATATCATAATGGTATAACTTAATACCCACAAAATTGTGAATTAGGTACCTATTAAGGTTTTAATGAACAATTTTGTATGGAACTTATGGCACCGACTTCTAACCTATCAGGGGGTAGGTAACCTATAAGAACTAACAATAGTTATTTTTTGCTTTTTAGTTTTATCTTCTTCTCCTCTTATAATATCTTCTGATTCACTTCGTTGCGGGAACCAAGACAGTTACTCATGTTCCTGGGACGCGCCGACTTCAGTGTTCCGGTGTTTTCATGGTTGTATCTACTGTAGATCCTGGCTTACAGGAGTTGCAGCGGTTTTGGGAGGCTGTGGCGGGTTTGTCCCATAAAAAAAGTGCGTTACCGGCCTTTTGGGATTAGGAAATTTAGGATTGCTAGGGATTCAGGGATTGGGGAGGGGTTAATTGCTTTTTATTATTGTCAAGCTTACTTGTCACTCACATATGCTAAGTTTTATCCAGATATTCCTAAATGATCACGACTTAATCGACTCAAATATAAAATAGCACCTTTGCTTTATGAGATAGGAACTACAGAGAGTTCTCTAGCGTACTAGATGGCGCTCTCAACTTTTGCCAGTGATTCTCGGTTCAGGCAAACTGTAAATTAAGGTTTTTGGTGCGACTTATTTTCAATGAAGTTTTTTCTAATTCATCCATCTCTATTTTGTCCAAATAGACAAAACTACACGTCGCAGTATCGTCACTCCATCGCCGACGAAGTCAAGTCCCGGAATGAGAGCGTAGCGTCTCAGTCGGAACACAAGGAGCGGTACGCGCATGCACCAAGAATATACACATCACCAGTACATAATAGGAAATCTAGCAAAAATGGTAAGTGTCAACAATATGTAGGACATTAAATTATTGATTACTAGCAACCCGCCCCGGCTTCACATGGGCGCAAAATGCATGTATTATACATATAAACCTACCTTAAGAATCACTCTGTCTATTAAAAAAACCGCATCAAAATCCGTTGCGTAGTTTTAAAGATCCAAGTACACATAGGGACAGACAGACGGTGGATAGGGACTTTGTTTTATACTATGGTAGTGATTGACATTATTTTGTAAAGGTAAATTTTAATCATTTATTGGAGACAATTTGACATTGACAGGGAAGCTGTCATTAATTTCAACTGTCATTACGGGAAAATATAGAAGTGAATGTCATCTGAATTCTTCTTTAAAAACCCATAATTTCTCAGTTCTCAAGATTTAATTTTACTTAGTTAATAAGTTTATCATTAAAAAGTCCTAAGTTTTAATTCAACCTTTATTTTACATCTATAAAATGTGAACAACTTCTCCAACGCAAAACTTTTTACTAAGGTTTTCATGAAATGATCAAATCTCAGCTACATTTCAAGTACCATCTAAGTTACTACTTTGATCAAATCCACTCTTCGCATTTTACTACTTATATCCTCCATAAATTCTGTCATAATATCTCCTTTATCGCCGCATCCAGTCTTTTCCATTTCATGGCTCTTACTATTTTATTATTATTAAATTCTCTATAATAGGTAAGGAATTGTGTTCTTGTAATTTCAACGTTATTAGTCATTTGTTAATGTTCAAATTTCATCGATAGATGTGATTAATAAGAAAGTTTGCAGTATGGAAAATAAAACTTTATTAAGACTTTAAATGCGAGCATAATTTTCATCAATACTATATTTATGAACTACATGCATATTAAACATATATTTATTATTATTTATTGAATTTTATTAATTCCGAATCTACATTTTGGAACAAGCATCTAGGTCACTGACGGACAGACTGACAGGCTATTATTTATTTTGTATTTGTTGACGTTTCAAAAGTTCCAAATTATGGTTTAATTGGAATAAATGCTTTGACTCTTCTTTTTTTTATTTATAGGATTAAACTAAGCACCGTAGTAAATTAATGCATGATTAAACTATAAATTCGTAACAAGAACTATAAAATTGCATTTTGTCCCCAGAAATGTTCGAGATAAGCCCATATGCGGAATTCGCCCTGGGCTTTAGAACTTTTGACCACGTGGAAAATCAAGACCTGCCTAGCAGATTACCTAGTAGACCTAGATTTGATACAGGTAAGTGAATGAAAAGTCTTATACGAATGTGTTAAACCTCATTAAATTCTGTATTATATTCATTTAATTAAGTTATTGATAAGAAATGAGTGGAGTTCCCCAAGGAATTAGTTTGGGACCAACAATTTTTTTCAGGAAGTGGAAAAAAAGTGAAAGTTGTATATCCAATGCCGTAATAGAGCTCAGTAGTACATTTCTAGTCTCCTCATTTTTTCTTAATTTCTAGTAAATACCCGGCAATAACAAGATTGTCTGGAAGAAATCACCATTGTGTGATAAGATCGCTCATTGTACGCATATTTACTTGAATTATTTGTTACCTAGGCTACTTAAATGAGTGCAGTAAAGCATATATAAATAAATAGATAATCTAAAACACTTACACACAAATTTTGACTCCCAAACGCTAGTTACAAACTAAAACAATAGTCCAAACAAATGAATAATGAGACAGTAATGGAAAGGGCATTGACTAAAATTAGTGCCTTTCTTTTTTCTGGCGGCAGTCGATAATTTATGGAAAATATTATCTAGAATGACATTACAAACGAAATTGTCTATGGGCTTATATATGGAAATCTCAGTCTGGACTGAGTTATGAGCGTTGAAAGGAGCTGGAGTCAAACATTTTACTTTGGATTTTTATTCAAATTATTCATATTTTTGTCACAATTCCTAACTTCAAATTGCGCGCCATTGTACGCCGGACACAGGAACACCATATCACACCACAATATATCCATATTGACAGGCACTAATTTTTATTCGCTATTTTCTCTCAGTCGATAACTTGTGGGATGCTTCTAGGAGTTGTATCAGGAAGCTTCATGAGCGTCAGCTGTCGTAACAGTGGTGGGTTGGGTAGTGGTAGCCGTCCAAACATCTAATAAAGTATTTTTTTTAGCCGTTGACTCCTTGTGGGAGACTCATCTACTTTACAGTTACCATAATCTTTTTAAGAAAGGAAACCGTCGACTTTGTAAAGTGATGGACTATACGTCAGATGAGCGCATAATTTTTTCATGTAATGTGATCAGTCGTAATATAATCCATCACTTTGTGACTGAATGACGATATCTTTGTACAGAATCTTATGCTAGCTGTCGATTAAAGTATTAACTGTAGTTAGATTAGTTACTAATCCGGAGTAAGTCGGAAGAAGTAGACAGAAAAATGTTTTTTTGAGTTTTGACGACTGCCGCTACTCAATCCGCTACCGACGCTGCAGCTGACAAACATAGCATTTCATGATAGGGCTCGGTAAAGTATTTTGCGAGTTTTCGACTGAGAGGAAATTGATCATGAAAATCTGTCGTAGGCCATAAACCGTATAGTTACATATAAAGTGAACACACTAGCCAATCAAGCGAAATGTTCTTTTTACTTCAGCAGTAGCCAGTTCATGGTTTACTCGGTTCTGATTCCGTGGCCTTATAACTAAAAAAAAAATACAAAAAAAAATTAAGTAAAGAAGTTCACAATAAGCTTTATTATATTCCTTGAAATCGTTTATAAACATTTATTATAAAATATTTCTGACAAGTAAATGAAGAAATATACGTTGTGTACGGTCGGTTATCAACAAAATAACAGGAATAAAATGGCACTATTTTCACATCTTTGAACTGATTTAACTCGGTTTGGACTGTGTTTTTAATATAAGACCCCATATATTTTTTTGTTTGTAATGTTATTCTGCATCAGTTTTTCCACATCCGATCAACTGCCGCAAAAAAACAAAAAGGCACCACGCTCCATACAAATTTGGTCATTGTCATTTTACTAATGAATCGAAATTACAAATGCACAAAATTATGTAACACGGCGAAAACAATAAACGATCACTGTTCCATGTCCATTCATTACTAATTCATATATGTGCATAATTAGGCGTTTCAAATAATAATGAATATCTCGTCCGTCCACTGAGAGACGTATTAACGAGACTTCATCTATTTACAAAGTGAACGGTTGTATGAAATTGAATCTCCTAATGAATTTCCTGGTAGATGTAATAGGAAAATTTTCTTTTAGGAAAGGTGCACACGACTTATATCCCTTATAGAGTACTACACTTATTATTTACTAGCTATTAGTATTACATAACATAACATCACGCGTTTTATCCCCGAAGGGGAAAGCAGAGGTGCACATTACGGCACTTAATGCCACTGTACAATGTAACACCCACTTTTTACTATTTATATTATGAGTCCCATGTAATATGGAATGAGCCTATTGCCATATACTGGACACATTTCCAGACTCCGTGCTAAAACTGAGATTTTTAAAAACCCAGTAATACTTTGCCCGACCCGGGAATCGAACCCGAGACCTCCGACCCGGCAGTCGCACTTGCGACCACACAGCCAACGAGGCAGGCTATTACTATAATTAGTTATTTTGTACACAAAAATAACCTTTAACAGTTGGCAGAACACATTCACCACCACCTTTTGCTTTCCACGGCTGTCGTAAAAGCCAACTGAGGTACTATACATTAGATAGAGACCTGCCAAGTCTCTCTGTAAAATCTAAACCACCTTCAACCAAGTCCTGCCCTGGAATGCTACGGGGTTTTGATATGTCTATCAAGCCAAGAACGTCCAGTCGTGCAATGCAACGGGGTTTTGATGAAATGTTTATCAAACGAAGTATATCTTTTATAGATCTCATTTGAGACTGATTTTGTACCTTAAACGTAATACGTAAGTAAAATCTAATTAGTCCGTAAGTTAGGTAATGATGTTATACGACAAAATAAAAAAAATATTTTTTATTTAGTGTTTCGATAAAACGAATCAAAGTTTAGGAGTGGGGGCTTAAACGTCATTTCTACGTATAAAATGTACATAGAAGTGATGTCACACGATATTTCAAATTAATATATCGTCGAAAGCATTCATTTCTGTAAGAAAATAAAAATACGTATCTAATGATTTAAAATAACCTACCAGACGGATATTAAAATAAAAATTAAGCTTCTACCCTATTGCACACAACATGATTCATATATCACTTAACAGCACCTTTGCGCTGTCATCTTTAAGTGTAGGAGAGTCATGCTTCGGCACGAATGGGCCGGCTCGACCGGAGTGATACCACGGCCTCACAGAAAACCGACGTGAAGCAACACTTGCATCCCAATCTCTGAATTCCCAACAATCCTCAAATTCCTAATCCCCAAAACGCCGGTCACGCACTTGTAACGCCTCAATGCCGATTGCTTACATCATGTGATCCGACAGCTCGTTTACCGGCTTATCCCATAAAAAAACCTAAAAGCTACGCTAAATCTGTTAATGAATTTTCCAACCAGTTCCAAATATGTACTACATTAGTGAATTTCCACTTTGAATTACACTTAATTGGCTACTGAACTAGATAATTATAATAGTGCTTTGTGTTTATTAAAATATATGAACTCCACTTCTGCGCGTATTTGCAAAAGCTTTGTGTAACATAAAAGCAATTATATGGTAATGTATGTTTTGTCTGACCACGCATGTTATAGTTGTAATACTTGTAATATTCTATTGTCTTTGTTTTAGCTATTTTTTTAACGTAAAAATGTTAATGTTATTTTAGGGAACAGAGTGGAAAGTTCCCTAAGATCGGAAAAGGAGGATCCTCCGACCACGCGAGGTGATCGTGCCTGGCGGGCTTTCTGCCCAACAGTTGTTTGTTGGGATTTTCTATCCGTGTTAATTTGCATGTAAACTTTGCATGTGCAATGTAGGATTTTTGTGACGTCATCCATTGACATGTACCATGTGTCGCCACATTATGATGACTTAGCCCGGTTTTGGCATTGGTTTGACTTGATAGATAGCTTGTTGCAAAGTTTTTTAAATTTCGATTTTGTCATTGTCTGCAGCAACCAAAGTTATTTATGGATTTACCTTTGATTTAGTCTGGTTTAACTTTGTCCAGCATCAATTGTTTTGTTTTTGAGAAGTTTCATGTCCTAACAGAATTTGTAACTGTATAGCAGTTAGGATTATTTACTAAGGGATAAGGTTACACCCACGTTTCACTATTTATGTTATAAGTCATGTAATAGAGGGTGAGCCTATTGCCGTATACCACAATTCCAGACAATTCCAAACTCCAGCTTCTACTAGTATTTAAAAAAAACCAATAATACTTTGCTTGACCCGGGAATCGAACCCGAGACCCCTGGCCAGGTACTCGCACTTTCGTCCATTTGGCCAACGATACAAAAATATGTTCAAAATATCATACCTATACGTATGTCGCGGAGAAAGGTTACCGGGGCTTCGGCTCGACGTGCATGAGAATAAGGAACGGGGTAGTTTTTAGTCAATAAAAGACTGACACTCCCTCCCGCCTCACCCAGGCGGGAGCAGACATTCGATGATTTTCCCTCCTTAAAAAAAACGTATATCTAAATGTCTATTTTATTGACATGACTCCCAAAAAGTCTCAACATTCCATTAAACAAAATGGCTACGATGTTTCTCCTCTCACAATACCAAAAATAACACGAACAGCATAAGCCTATACCTAAAATTCAAGATTGAATTCTGAGAATATCTTAATAGCAAAGCCTACAGACATCTTCCTTTCAACAAAATATTTAATATCCTTAATTAAAATCGACATACAAAAGCAGTTTGTTGGAATTCCAGGAATTTCGTCACTGTGCCTAAATCTTTAGAATTCATATTGTGTTGGCTAGAATGATTAATTATTCTACAGAAGCATTTGGACAGACAACTAATCTGTCTGAGTGTTAGACGAATACTCTTACTTATAGATAGACTACAGAATAATACTTAAGGTTCAAATTCCTAGATCAGAAAAGTGTTAACTCGTCGAGTACCGGTTTTATAGACACAATTAAAGAACAATAGGTCGCGGTCACCGGTGACCGCTTGGTGTTTGACAGATTAAGGAATTGTTTATAATATAAAACTCGTGAGACATAGTAAATTAATTATTATGTGTTCGGCTTGCTCACGTAACTGTTTAAAATT